ATAAATTAAGCCAGGTGCTACAACACAGAGAAGATTTGAAAATGTTGGTTGTCGAGCCTTTCCAAGAGGAATCTGTCCTGGCATTTTAGCACAGTAGATCCATCAAATTTCTCACATTCATCTGTTACATGCTTTCATATAAAGTATGGCAAGAGGAAAGGCAGATCACCTTTGGTTTTAATGAGGCTAACAGCCTGATCCTATGGCTCATCATAGCTGCTGGACATACAGTATCTTCTATAAAGATGGTGGGACTCACCACTTTCTTTTACAAAAGTCTCCAGCCTTAACTTTGGATTTTAGCGCAGGAGCTACAAAAGAGGGATGTTCCCACTGCCAATAGGTTGCCCTCCTCCACTTTCTTATCATTAAAAGACGACTTAGTCATGCACATACTCATCTGTGGTAAGAATCACACTTGGAGGACCAAACAGGAAATTTTTAGAAATTGCAACAGTATCTTAGCATCTTTTAGGCTGTGCCACAAATGATTATGAGGGCAATTTGGCTACTAAACATTTTTCTGGGCTACTAAACATTTTGCAGGCTCATTTGTAAGGCCTTTTGTGACTAAGCCAGTTTTTCGCAGAATGAGTTTCCCGCTCAGCACTTGTACAGTGGATGTTGCTCCATGAGTGAGCTGGCTCATTAGCTTTAAAGTAGATTCTTTGGCTCAAGCTTCTTAGAAAGTGTAAACACATGATACTTAAGCTAAGAAAATCTACAAAGTGTCCTGCTACTAACACCTTCAACATGACAAGCTTTATTTTAAATAACTTTCTTTCTTTCTTTTTACTCCAGAGTCTGCAGGTTAATTCATAATTGCAAGGGTAACATAAATAGGTATGTCAATTTTATGTAACCACTTCCTTGTACTATGTCAATTTCATGCTAGATATAGTACTATTTAAATGAAAGGAGTGAAAAAGGGAGGTGTGTTTTACTTGGCTGGATGGATAGCCTGCCTTCCATCTATGGCATCTCTGCCATCTGCCACTTCCTTTCCAATTCGAATACAGTAAACCTGCAATTTACATGAATTCAGTGCTATTTTTATAGAAAAAGAGGTGTTGGAACTCACCATTAACACCTCCCTTGTTTTCTTATAATGACAATGGTGCTCATCTGAGAGGTGCCAGAACTGAGTTCTGGAGTTCAGGCTGAAAAAAAAGCCCTGCCTGCATTTAACTTGTGTGCATTCAGCTTTACGTGCATGGCAAAAAATAAAAAATAGAAGTAAGGAGCAGGAAGGAGCAGGGTTCCAGAAAAAATTACTTTGGCAATCCTACCCCAATGGGTTTTGACTAAACATGATTTTGGATTTAGATGTGATCCCTGAAATGTAACCCTGGTATAAGTTGCGGGCTTACCATATGGTAATTTAATACTTCACATCTCCATTCTGCAGCAAAACTAAAGGAATAAAAGACTCTTTTCCCTCTGTTAAGCTCAAGAGAGTAGTATAGACAGATTTGCAGTCTGAGTAGATTATAGATGTTATTTTCTTTCCCTGGGAAAGAAATGACAATTCTTCATTTGAAAGAGATAAGTCCTGTTCTATTTAAAACACTAACCCTTGCTGGAAAAACTAAAGGTGTATAAGAAGTTAGTTTCACATAATGCTTTTTCTTAAATTCCTCCAGAATTTTCAACATTAAATCCAGGATAGGGAATTTCCCAGTGCTTTTGGATGCCAACTCTCACCATGATGACAGAATCTGTAGTCAAGCAACATCTGGAAGGTCGCCACTTTCCCCTTTCTGCCTTCAATATTGACTGCTGAGTTTAATTTACAGATATATTTTCAAAAGGCTGGAACACCAGTATCACAGTAGTAAAGGTGGAACGGGGAGGAGGAAAAGTGGAACAACGCCAGTCAAATGAGGCAGCAGCAAGTGCAAGCCCAATAATAACTTACAGTATTGCCTCATCAGGCTTTTGCAGATCATCTGTGGGCACTGGGACACTTGTACCACAAGCACAATGCAAACTCAGTTCACGTAACAAATTTAAACACCTTTCCATATTCATGATTTGGAAAAGGATTTTTCTTCTGGATCCATCCATCCATTTCTCTAACCTGCTATAAGTACACTCAAAACTAATCTAGGTTAACCCAAGACCAACTGGGAAGTCATTTATTGCAGCATTGTCTCTATTCTGAGCCCTCTTCATATTAAGGGGCAGATTCCCTTCCTCTGTTGTCCCAAGGGGCAGCATGGACACTGCTGTCAGACATACATAACATTCACCTTTGGAAACTGCTGCTCTTAGGCCTAGTTTTCATTGAGTAGATAAAGCTGTCTTTGAGCTATACCACTTGAGCCAGCAGGTGATGCTTCTCCATGGCAAGGGGAGGGGGTCAAATCCCTGTTGTATTGGGTGGAATGCTTGGGTAGCATCTCCCCTGACATGCTAGTTTTTCATATGCATGGATTTTTATTTTTGTATTAGGGAGAATTGAATATGGAGTGGGTTAGCCAGACACAGCTGACTCACTTCCGTGAGAATTAGTTATTAGGTCCATGCATATTTTCTCAATGTATTGACCCTGATTCTTATATTATAATTCAACTTATCTTTTTAGAATGAGTTACCAATAACTGAGTAACTAGAAAGTTACTATAAATATAAAGTTTCTATAAATACTATAAATGAGTAACTAGAAAGTAACTAGAAAGAAACGATAAATCAGGAGAGCCCTCTTGTGAGAGGAAAGAGTAACAGCATACTCATTTGCCACAGCAAGAGGGTGGCATGGGTTAGATCACAGCAATAGTTTTTAGGAGTTGAAAAACGCTTTTAACAGTTGAAAAAGGCTCTGCTTTTTGTAGATGCAGTTTCCTTTTCTTTCACTGTGTAGAACTAAATGGTGAAAACATTCCAGAAAAACTGTAAATGCCATATTGGTAGTCAAGATAACCCTGAGACTAATTAGCAGTTGCTGCAAGAATGAATTGCCTATGTTTATGTGCTTGCTTTGATATATGCTAACCGGCTTGCTTTGATGCTATGCTTCTCTGTAGGCTTAGGACGCTTGGTTATTGGCCTAGGCAGGGGAGCAATCTAAGACTTGGAGGCTTGCACCTATGCCTTCATTGGCAGGCAGTGTTCAAAACTCTCATTGTTCTAGGGCTAGGCGCATTTTGCGACAGGGAATTTCATTAGCGCAAGCAGTTTCTGAGCTCTGAGAACAGTATTGCCCCTAAGATTTCAGATTAAAACTGTAGAGGGGAAGGAAAGGAGGACCTTTTTCTGCCTCCCCACTTCCAGCTACTCTCTGAAAACTTAAGAAGAGACCCTCTTAAGAATATTAGGGGGGTGGGCAGGTGAAAGACTAGACCATGTGAAAAACGAACGTAATATTTTAGCTTCAGTTCATTCATTTTCAGCTTTGTATTCTTGTTATAAAAAAGTGTGTCTAGACATTATATTGTTGTACCCATAACCTAGGTTTAAGGTGCCATTCAGCTCCTAGCTTTCAAATCTAGAATGCTTGCTGTTTCTGTGTCTGTCCCAAGTCTATAAAGGCAGCAAGGCTCTGCAGGCTGTGTTGTAAATTTACACCTTTTTTTAAATAAAGCACCAGAATTGATCACTTTGGCATTTTTGACATCCTTGTTTGGTATCCCTGCACCAAACCAATTGCATAAGCTCACCATTGGGCCTGTGGATCAGATTTTGGCCCTGTGAAGCAGATTTTTAAGCAATACGAAAAAATGTGCAATCTGTTTACCAGAGGTGAAAGTGGAATAAGTGCATACATCACAAGAAGTGGCTACATACCCACTATGCATTTAAAGTACATGAAAAGCATACACATGCCACCAAGAACCCTGGGAACTGTAGTTTACTCATCACAGAGCTACCATTTCCAATACCGATTTAAAAACTACAGTTCCCAGTATTCTTTTTTTGGGAGGAGGGGTGCTTTAAATGCATGGTATGTATTGCATGGTGTGTATTGAGCCTAAGATTCCTCCCTTTTATAGAACAAATCTCAGAATGCTGAATGCCTTCTTCTGTCCCTTTGTCTAGTTTTTAGATAAATTTCTAATTACTTAGTCAATATCTTCAGAAAAATGCAGACAGTGAAAACTGCCTACATTCTTCTGTTTGCCTGTTCACTAAGATTAAGGGATGTCAGTTCTTTTCACTACTTCTTTTCACTGTCTTTGCTTCTCTGTTGACACCTGGCTCCAGAATAATAGTTGTTTGTCTCTGTTACCCTCTTCCCTGAGGTTTAAGCATGTTACTGGATTGACCTTTATTGGGTTTTTCTTACTCCACTTTTCTGTCCATGAACACATGAAGTGAATTATAACATTTAAAACAATATAACATAAAAACATAAAAACAGACAATATATGACAGCAGCAAACGAAATCCAACTAGGCATTCTCCACCTAGACTATATTTGTGATTGTCCAGCTCAGGCAAAAGCCCAAGGGTTTTCTTAGAAGAAATGATGCTAAGGTGAATTGTTTAACAAAACTATCCTTCCCAGCTAACTGCTATAATGTGATAGAACTCAGGTGCTTTAGGTATTGCTTTTTGGATCACCTGATCAAAAGTTTCAAAAACAGAAGTTTGGTGCTTTATTTTTAAATATTCCCCCCAATTTATTTTTTTAAACACCCTTGAAAACCCTATATACTGGGAGAAGGTGATTTTCTGAATGACTCAAAAGCCATCCAATCAGCATTATGCAGAGTCCTGCACTCATACAGAAGGAATTGTTTTATAGCAGGTACAATGTCTGGCTAAACAGTATGTAATTGGGTTTCCACTCAAGCAGGAAAAACAGGTCCCTTCCTTCCCCCACCCTCTCCTGGCTGATGCAGGTGAAAAGACAAGTATGCACATCAAAAGTGCAGACAGCACACTTCCACAGCAGGCTGGCAGTTCAAATTATGAATATCTGTACTTTTATCTTCCCTTCATTTTAGCTACTGACATAACAGTGGAGGGAATATCAGCCCTGTTCAATTTCTGCCTACCTTTTCCTGAAGGAAAGAAACAGTCCATCTCCACACTGCTCCGGGAATGTGAGATACAGAGAGCACTGCTGGGGACCAGCCCTTCCTGAGGAGGACTCCGCTCTGTTGTCCGTACCAAACACCAGCCGGGCCTTTCACTTGGCCTTTCCAGTAACTCCACCGTTTGCCCCACCTGGATACTCAGCTCACTACTATGGCTGGCTATAAAGTCTTGTAGTACCACAGTTAGTTCACATCCTCCAGACAGCTGCAAGGGGAGAAAATTGAAACAGAAAAGAGGAAAAGTGAGTCACCTACAACAAGGCACAGGGAATTTTCATATAACATTGGCTCTTGTAATGAGAAACATAGTTCAGTTTAATAGTTTCCACTGTGGATGCTTCCAATATGTTGCTTCGGATGGGATTCAGCCACATACCTGTAGGGCAAAGCAAATGGGACTCATACAGCTCTCAGTCAAAAGAGTGGGAGGGCTCAGTGTTTTTTTCCACTGTTAAAACCAAGTAGGTTTCACATCCTGGCTAGAGCTCAGACATGGGGCAACAAAGCACAAAACAGAGGTATCCTTGCTTAAACATATGCCTGGACTAGCCTTCCCTTTGTGGTTAGATGCTGTTACCATCTGATTCTGATTACTGTATGTTAAATCTGCCTCCAAGAATCTCTCATCTCTTTCCTGGGAAAGGATACTTTATTGCAGGATCACTAGTTTTTAAAATGATGGAGCCCATGAGACATCTACTACTCCCCACGGGAGGGAAAACAATGATTATTATTATCACTGTTAGCTAAAGAGTGCCATCAGTGTAAATGGTGCATTACAGAATTAAATAAAGCAGGCACTTGGTATAAGAGTTTGCCATCTAAGAATTAGGTGAAGGAGAGAAAACAGCAAGGGAGTGCTGGAAAAGGCAAAATTCAGAAACACATTTTATAAATGTAATTTATGCAACACCTAAAACACTATCTGTCTGGTGAGAAGGTAATGCTGAGGATCTCCCCCACTATATTGTTCAATGGTACATCTATAAGGAGGCATGAGTCCCTTCGTGTCCCCTCGCCTCTTCCTCTTTAAGTTTTGAACAAATGCACAAAACATGTACAGAGTTTTTGGCTGCGAAGGAAGAGAGGTATTAAAAAACAACAACAACAGGAAGGCTACGACAAATCTGTATGGATACAAAGTGGCAGCCAGTGTTCTGTCTATATTGCTTTTCTGCCTTGTTATGTCCTATGGTTAAAACAAAAATAACATTAAATATAAACTTTCCATAAATAATAGAACTGAAGCGATTAAAGGAAAACGAAAAGTCAATCTAAGCCCTTATAACGGGATAAAATATTTTACACCATAATTACTCTCAGATAGATGCTTGCAACAGCCAATATGGTATATATTGATTTGGGGGCTACATATCTTCAGCTCTAATAGTAAGCACTGTTGATGTCTGCAGTGCCGAAGCGTGATGTGCTTCAGCCTTCATTATTCTCTTACCAGTCCTTGTGTAGCCTACAGGGACTAACTTGCAGCCCTTCAGTTCTTGGACTGCATCTCCCAAGTACTGCATCTCCCAAGCTGGCTAGGGCTAATGGGAGCTGTAGTCCAACAACCTCTGGAGGACCACAGGTTAGACACCCCTGGTGTAGTCCACACAGCTGGCTAATGATAAAGGTAATGGCTGTGCCATTCAAGAAAGGTCTGCCTTTGGCAGAGACCTACCTAGGGTCCCTTACATCCTTGGCAAGGAGTTGTACTGGCACCCCCAGCAAGGAGCTGTATTGAAAAGAATCAATAGCCTACATCTGTCATGTATGATCTAGCTGAGATTCTTGCATTGCAAGGGGTTGGACTAGATGACCCTGGGGTCTCTTCCAACTCTACAGTTCTATTATTCTACGTTTCACTGCTTCCTTGTTACTCTTTTTACCAAATCTTGGCAACCCTTTTCTTTCTTTCTTTTTGGCCTGTGTCTATGCTGTTTGATGTTCACAATAGTTTAGGGCAGGTACTGTTTGCTCAGCATCCCACTCAGTTGCTTCTGGATTCCTGATCCATGTACCCAACTGCATAAGGATGTGTTTACTGACTGCTCTCTCTCCTTCACTATTTTCTGTGGATCTTCCTATGAAAGGTCTTATGCAAAAGATCACTCTGTAGCTGGGTGAGAAGGAATGTAGCAGAAGATTGATTAGACCTTTATTCATAACACTGACTAGGTATCATTAAGATCAATGTTTTCTTACCATTTCTACAGCAAATGCACTTAAGATCTTGTCTCTCTGCATATATTACTTCCCATCTTCCTTAGCCATCCCCAAAAGCTGAAGGACTACCAAGGAACAAAATGGCTCTCAGTGAAGCCAGTATAACTCCCTGGGGAGCTGCAAACCAAACTACTTCCTGACCTATCTTTATGCCTAGAGGGGTTTTTTAGTGCTTTGATAGTATCTGGAATTGGCTGCTAAACTGGTCCTTGGAATCAGCACAGAGCACATTCCTCTGTGAACAAACCCCACTTTTGTTGCCCGATGGTGCTGGGAGGCTCAGGGGGATGCTTGAGCAATTTGATCTTTATGAAATCTGACATGAACTGAGCTGATCTGTAACTCTGGATTAATATGTGGATTGGAACCCCATTATCAACTGAACTTCACATTTCTCTGACACAGTGCTTGTCTCAAAATTCACCTATATGCATTTTAAAAATGCACATTTTGAGAGACAATATGGTTAAAATTAAGTAATTTAAGGAAAACATATTTAATTATGCATTAAAATTCACAGATTAATATGGAAATGTAATGGAATGGATTTCTGAACGAACACAGGTAAAAGTGACATAGACAAGAAACAGACCTGAGCCGCCCATCCCTAGCCTCGTATTTTCATCACAGACTTGAAACTTCCTTGGAGTGTATATCTAAGGGATCATAAGGCACCCTGAACAAACCAGGATGCCCATTAGCTTAGCTGGTTTTAGTTGCTTAAGTTACATTTTTTGAAGACTGTGTAGTAGTTACATGGTGAACTATGAGTTTGGCTCATTCATATGATTTCAGCATAGCAAAAAATACTATGACTGCCTTGACATACATCAGAGTCAAGGATTTTAATGTCATAATTTAGGATTGCATGGGTAATGAAGGTAGTTCATTTAAAAAGTTGAGAGAATCAGGTTCAATTCAACTCCTTTAAAAGAATATAGTCTGCATACAATGCAACACACAACCACTAGATGTCCATATTTGCTGTCTAATGGCAAACTGGATGTCTGCATCAAACTAGACTGTTTTGGACTGAATGGCGGGGGTGTGATACAAGATATGCCCGGACAGTGTATATGATGGTCAGTTAGTAACTGACAGCACCAACCAAAGCTTTAAAAGTACCCATCAATTGCTTACAGCAGTAAGGCTGGTAGATGTTACAAAAGCAGAGGCAAACTTTCTCTAGATGCTTCATACAACTTTTGGAAAAAATAACGTAAAGATTCAAAGGAAAGAGGAAAGTACCCTTAAATGCTGAGGGGAAAATTTACAAAAAATAAGTGAATTCAAGTGGCAGAATTCCTAGAAATCTACATGACCACAATGACATCAAAGGCATAGCATCTAGCTTTCTACAACAAAGCCTTATAAGCTTCATGATCATTCCTAAAATTGCATATTTTGGATATTTTTGCAAAAATGAAGTCTTTATAGCAATGAAGAAAGCTTTGAGAAAATGGATGCAATGTCTGTTAAAAGCTCAACAAGTGTTTAAGGACAGTGTAAGGTTTCCCTTGGCTAAGGGGCAAAGGCACCTTCCTTATATACCTTTAGATGCCAGGCGAAAGCATTCCTCTTCAACCAAGCCTTGGACTGATTAACATCACATTCCCTTTTAAATGTACTTGTGGGAAGAGGTGGGTTTATTGGTTTGTGGCTCCCCCGTTTTTATCATGTAGTCTGCATTTTCATCTTGTATTTTATCCAAGATCTATGGATGAAGGGTGGTACACAACTTGAATGAATTAATGATTAAATGAATGAATATTTTGGGCAACCAGCAGGGTTTCCATTTTCTGGTTGCAGCTTTTGGCATTTTGCTGAATTCTAGATCCTCTAGTGGCTTTGTGGGAAGCTACTCTTATCTACGGAACAGTACAGTAAACTGCAAAAGCCTCCTCATCAATTATTTGTGACCCCATGCCTCAGACAGGGGCTAACATAAAAATCAATTTGTGACATAGCTCCTGTCAATAACTTATTAAACTCTTAATCCTCTGAAGTAGCGAAAACCGCTTGGGTCAGGGGGAGAGCACTCCTGAACTCTGGTGCTTAAGGAGCATTTGTATTATTTGACCCTCATACATTGTTACCAGGCAGAGACTCTTTGTCCTTTTCATCTTTTTTCATTTGTTAAAATGTCACTTGAGGTAGAACTCAAGCTATGGCTCCATCACAGTGGGAGTATAGCCAGAGGAATTCCAATGAAGTTGATCAAGGACATAAGGTTGCTTCTAGTGGAGCTACTTGCTGGAATAACTTTGCCACTGCCTCCCCCCTATATTAACAAATGTATAATACTGCAGGTTTGGGGCAGTACAACGTATTAGATTAATGATGAGGCAATCCTATGGTCTCTTATGCTGGAGAGGGAGTTCAATGTCAGATTCCCCTTCCCTGTCGCTGCCACTGAAGCCTCCAATGCCCGGGCCCAACTGATGTGGCTGCATGGGGAAGGTATGGGAAACCACTAAGATCTGAAGGATATAGTCATCCCAGTCCCCTGACATGCCCCTGTAATTCCTAAGCATGCCTAAATCTCCCTTGCACTCTCCACTGTTCCCAATAATAAGGAAAATATAAATTAAATAAATTAAACCCAGAAATGGACAAACACAAGATCATTCTTTTGTCCATTTTTCTGCCCTGTTGGCTCAAGTAACTTCAGTCTCCCCACCAACCTTAGGACTGCATTGTTAGTGTTCAAAATGGAATCATGCATGCAAGTTATCTAGAATCCTCCTTCAAAAGGAGTAGGTCAAAAAGATTAGGTCATATCCATCATCTTTGACCACTGACCCTGTTAGCCAGAGCTGATGGGAACTGTAGACCAGCAACATTTGAAGGGAGTACGTAGTTCAAAGGACAACATTTTTTAAAAGTTGTCCTGGGGTATGTGTGTGTGTTTGTTTGTTTTCAGTAACACTGCTAAGATAGTTCTTAGCAGTAACTTCTATGTTGAAAGACAATTTGCCACTGGATACCAGTTGCTGAGGGACTTTTGCCTACATGACCTGCTTGTAGGCTTGCCAGAAGCATCAGGCTTTCATTTATTTGTAACAGAATGCTCAAAAGAGAATTTTGAGTTCAGTGGGGCTTTCTCCCCCAGGTAAGTTTGTATAGGATGACAGTCTCCTTCTCCAATGTTAATCCAAGTACTGTTTTATAATATGCATTTTTTTTAAAAGGCTGCAAGTTATTACTCACACATATGCGTGAGTAACATCGGATAAAAGTCAAGCCTTGAGAATATAATATTTCTCAGGTAAATGTGTTGGTACCATTTCCAGAAATATGTTTGTGTCTCCTTATTTCTGTAATAAATTCCCTCATTAAGTTTTATTCATTTTCTTTAACAGCTTTTCACAAAGCGACCACATGTTTGCATTCAATAAAAGGAGGAGGGAACATTTATGTGAGCAAAGGCAAACAATAAAAGGGCGGGGGGAAATTGGTAGCTGATTTAAGAGAAAATATATAAAACTGGGAAGGAGAACATGAGACCCTCCAGATGTTGTTGAACCCCTGCTCCCATTAGCCCCACCCAGAATGGTCAATGGTAAAGGATGATAGGAGTGGTAGCCCAACAATATCTGAAGAGCCATGGGTTCCCTATCCATGCTGTAGAAACACAGGGAAATTATCACACTGTTGTGGAGTGCAGTTAGATTCACAATAAAATCAAGAACAGGGAAACACAAAGTGCTGGTTCCACTCTCTGCTGCTCCACAATGCTAACAGAAACTGGTAGAGCCTTTTAAACTACAATGATGTGCTTCTTACGTCAGTCCCATGTGGAAAATGATACTTGATTTTCCATGAGGCACCTATCTGTACATGGCATGCCTCCTTTATTATTGTGACACTCAGCTTTCTGCAATATTATAACGTTATGTTTGATCTACGTACATCAATATGGAAGACTGAGCCAAAGAAAAATTATAAAAGATGACACTCCAGTCCTAGACTTTCTTTTTCCATATTTAAATATGGAAATCTAAGGGAAAATATCTCCATAGATCTGGATTGTAAGCATATAAATTTGCTTTTAGTTACAATCATTGCTCATAATGACAGAGTATTATTCAAGTCCATCACAGCAATCAGATTAACCACACCTTTCCAGTAAGACTCCTCCATAAAACCACTGGATGGGCAATACTGAACTATCCTGTGAAGGGGTTTTGTTAAAATATTGAGAGACTGAATTGGCACTACTCTCTTAATGAGGCATGTTTCCTCTATATAGCACAAACTGATTTTATGTATTCTTTATCTAGGGGAAAAAATGGTTAGATTAGGGGAAAAGCTCAAGAAATTCAGAGTAAGGAAACACTGTTAACACGCAACAGCAAAATTCACAACATTCAACACTACCAGGATGATTTAAACAAAGCACACATCTTCACTGAATACTAAACAAACTGCCATTTCTGTTAGGAAACTTCTGCCCATCAGGCTTGGATGAAAGCCAGTTTTAGTCACTATGAAATTCAGAGAGCAGAAAAGTGAGAAAGATAGAGAATGATGATTAACTTATGTCTACAACCTAGGGTGGGGGTGGGAAACGGAGTCCTGTCAACTCCTCTCTCTCCACGTGTTGAATTTAAACTGCACATTGTTCAGTATTGTTGTCATGCCCACCTGGGTGAATAGGAATGGGCAGGATGTAATGTTCTCTGTGCAGTTTACAAAAAGTTTCCTGCGTAGTTTTATGAATTGTATTTTCCCTCCTATTAAAACAGATGCCACCAGTCACTTTTGTCCATCCCTGCCTTTGTGTACCAGGCCAGAGAGCTATCCAAACATTTGAATAATTAAAGCTACTCCTTTATAAGCAGAAAAAAAGTCCTCCTAAAAATGTTCAGATATATCTTATGCAGGAGACTGGGATGCTGCCAAAGGTATTTTTGCATGATATCTTATTCTCTTTGTATGGACACCCACCCTGTGCCCTGTCAACATCACATCCCCCTTCTCTGTTCCACATTGTTGGCACATATTAAGTGATCCTACACAGCAGGTAGCTCAACATGCAGCGACTGTTTCTGTCACCAATCCTATATCATGCATAATGTGTAGGAATGGTAACAAAAACACCACTCCATGATGAATCTCCATTTTTCTTATAATGCATATGATCACTTACCATGTGTTGATAATGTGGAAGCAGGGAAAGTGATGATGTCCAGATATGGGGTAAGGGATACTACATGTTACAGGGGAAGAAGAAATCATACAAATATGCTATTTTGGGAACTCCTGCCGGTCTCCCCAGGCTTGCGGATAGCTTCCTGAAGCCTGGAGAGCGAGAGGGGTCAGTGCGCACAGACCCCTCTCGCTCTCCAGGCTTCAGCGAAAGCCTGCATTCGCCCCATAGGACGCACACACATTCCCCCTTCATTTTTGGAGGGGAAAAAGTGCGTCCTATAGGGCGAAAAATACGGTATATGTATGGTTCCTTTAGACCAAGAGAAATCTAGTTGTTTTACAACAGGTAGAAGAGACCACAACAGTAACTGGAAACATGCAGTTATAGTAGCTGAAAGAAAATCTGTTTCTCTGTGTTTAGATAACATGCACCTTTTAGTGTTCCAGATTGCTTGGGCAGATTGTGGCACAATAGGAATCCTTAATAGACAACCACATCTACAACCTGACTGCTGATTTTTGGACTGATGTAGGCAGCCTGTGCACATACATGTGCTACACAGCTTGAGATTATATGCTTGCACAATTTGTAAATGTTCTCTAGGAAAGAAAGACTTTGCAACTACTGCCCTAGAATAGCAGCTCATTAAGATTATCACGGAATTGTTTTAAGGTTGGGGGTGTCCATATGGCATGATGCTTTGCTACTTTTTCTTCTTTTACGCCACATATTGCTGTAAACATCAGACTAAGATAAGCAAGTCTGTGTGAGCCTCTCTTGCAAAGTCCTCAGAACCTTTAGCAGGAAGCAAATAATAGTTCATGTTCAAATACTGTAGCTTTACATTCAGATTGCAACAATAAATGAAAATGCATATGTTGCATTCAAACTTTACACAATTCAGTGAAATACTGGTGAATGGTGAAGGTGACCAGTGAAATACTGGGGGAAATGAAGTCATGTGTCACCTTCAGGTTCTTAACTAAGACTGAAGGAGGAGCAGACTGAGAGGTCTTGAGGACCACATTCAGTCCCTGTGTGGCCAAGGTTCTCCACCCCTGCACTGGTGGCTATACTCTGGATGAGGGTAAGCTTGTACCTCAGTAACAGTGCATATGTACGAGGCCTGTCATTTGAATACATAAATCATAGTTAATCAACTGAGTTTTAATTAATTTTAATTTGCATATATTTGCATCTAAAGTAGCAGGTCAGACAGATTATTTGTTTTTAGATTATGTACACATTTGTTGCATCAGGCACCCTTTGTTCTTCTAAGAAGGCACCTATGGATTTTGAAACATATCACATAAAATAATTGTTGAAAGAATTAAAATCTGCTCCCTGATTAATTGGAAACACCTTTTCAATTTGTCAAAAGTTTTTAACTGATTAATTAGCAAAACATGGCATTACTGGTGAACAGCCACGACACTCATGTAGTAATAGACTTACAGGTGGGTCCCCACTGCCTTATTCGGCACATAGCATTTCCAGATTGTCTCAGCTGGCCCTTAATCACTTAGTCACTGCTCCTAATTAAGACTATGGACAGAGCAATGTTAGAGGGGGAGGGGAGATTCCATAACAGAGGAAGCACCACTTTCTAAGCCTGTCATAACCTATGACCTTGCAGTACACCATGGAGGGCTCTGATGAGGAAGATGTTCAGACTGCTTCCTTGGGAGAACTACAAGTGCGTTATTGAGGGCCTTCCTATCTGGAAGACAGAGCTCTGACTCAGAGGATGAGTCCCTAGAAGAACCTGTCTCCCAACCTCATAGAAGTCAAAAGACTACAAAATAGTGAAGAGCCTTTAAACAGCCAGCCAGCTGCTCCAAGGAACTACCATACTCCATGTCTTGTCAGCCTGTACAAGGCTTCAGTTAGCTCTAGCTCCCAGCAGAAATGACACCTCCTGTAGCTGCCTGCAGAGGAGAACACTTCAGCCAACACAGCCCCATTGGAGCTGTCAGAGATCCTGTTGCTGCCTGCCCAGACCTGACTCGGGCCTGACAGTAGGCAAAGCCCTGCTGGGCCCGTCAATGATGTGGTATCTTTTCCAGCCTTTTCATCTCTGTTTTATTCTTAAAATCCCCTCCTTTGGTTCCAGTGCATAAGAAAATAAATCTGCCAGCATAGTATTTCTCCCTTCTTGGGGGCATGTCAGGGGAACAGGAGGGATTTTGATCCAGTGGATCAAAGGTCTCTGATTCACCCCTGAAATGCCCTTTTTGTTTTCCTACTATTGTTAGAGCACCACAGCCCGCAGAACTTTTTACTGCTGCACCATGGAAGTCTCCAGCAATTACCTTCTTCACTCAGTTTCTGTTGGTGAAGCAGAAAGTCTGCAGCAGCCCCTCAGTCACCCTCCCAAGGAACTTCGGGTTGTTCCCTAGCAGCCTAACCCTGGGTGAATCATTACCTTGCAGTATAATGTTTTGCTGCCAGACAAATAGGTATTTAAGTTTCCATGGCACATTTTTGTGAATGCAAAACAGAAACACTAACAAGGCTTTTATCATTTGCTGGATAGCAGAAAGAAGAGGTACGGTAGGTAAAAAAAATCTTTCCTCCTTTTTTTTGTAAACAAGCACACAAATTTCTTACAAAAGAAAGAAAAAAAGAGCAGGGTCAGGCAATTCAATTCAATGACCAACTAAATATGACAATAATGGTGGTGTGTTCATCAAACATTTGCCACATTATGCTTGGGTTAGTAATCTTAAAATGTGGTCTGGATTTAGAATAAAACACTCTTTGCCCTGCTGAATAGTTCAGTTTTGCATGGGGCTTCACTGTGATAAACCTCTGTTCCTATTCATCTGTATATAAAATAAGTTATTGGATTAGGTTTTCCCCCACTGGCAGCCCAGTTCACTATGATAGCTGTAAATATCCCACCCCACCAAGGTGAAAAATACATTGAAATAAAAACCTTATTTGTTTGATACTGCTAAGATAATAAGCATTGTTGAACATACTTGGCAGCATCACCTTAAGAAACCAAATATCAGTTCTGAATGCATAAAATAAAATCCTGATGGATGGGTTCAAATTATTCCCTGGTGTTTTCTTCTTCTAAATGCTGAAATCAGAGAACAGATGCTTTATATGAAAATGGTTTTAATCTTAATTGGAAGGGATTATTCAAACTATGTATAAACCAGATGGCTCTTGAAGTCACACTCCCTTTTGCCCCTTTCTAGAGAGGCTTCTTTCAATCTTTGCCATTTTTTTTTAGGTTGCTCTCCATTTAAGAATCTTACTGTTGCTTTTTTCATTTTTATTGACTGTCTTCAGGCACAGTTACTGTAAATTCAACATTCAGCTTTGACTCAAGGAAAGATTGGAATAAATTTAACTTAATGGTTCACTGGACTGATCCTACAGAGAAGACTTGAGCTGACTTCACTGACAAACATATGCAGGGACAGGGGAGAAATACAGAGGGATTTAGCAACACCAGAGATTTCTTAGTTTTTATGGGGGGGGGGGGAAAGCAATACTGGAATTCTGAGGGCAAACAGTTGCACTCCCCCATACAGTATGTGCACACCAGGGGCACAATGCCACACTTCCATTTGTTTTCGTGACTCTTCTTCCTGATCTGTTCCATGTGTGGCTGAGTAACCATTACCCCATTCTCCTCTCCCACCTTAGTTGATTTGGAATGGGGAAAGCTTCATAGAAAAGGCAAGCTAATGAATAGGCAAAGTTGTGGACAGCATGAATCCCCGTCAATATACTCTAATTTTATTAATTTGGTGTGTAAATTGGAAAAAAATAATTAGTGGCTGGGGCAACCCAGTCAGATAGGCAGGATATTACTACTACTACTACTACTACTACTACTACTACTACTACTACTACTACTATAGTCGCCAGGGCAAGGAGGGGGAGAACCCTACCAGTATTTTTCTGCACCCCCAAATCCAAAGCAGTATGCCAGCAGTCCTATCCTAATAATGGTCTTGAATAATAATGATTCACAATGGCGCGTTCAAATTGCGCACAGCAAAACTAGCACATAATTACTTCATTATTCTAGGCCAAAGGATGTGGCGCTTGTGACCACCACAATCTTCAATCATCCCAATCATCCATGCTAGTTGGGGCTGATATGAGCTGAAGCCAAAGACATCTGGAGGGCCACAGGTTCCCTAGCCTGTTCTCAGCTATCACTTCTAAAATGTTCATTTGAAATAAACTGGTTTCCCTCTCTATCCTTCAGCACTATTCACATTGCAATCCTATGCATGTCTGTTCAGAAGTAAGTCACATTGAGTTCAGCTCGAAAGCAAGTATGTATAGGACTATAACCTCAATTTCTATAAATGCTAAGCACATTAAGTGGAAGTACATCCCACTGATTTTACTGGAAGTTATTTCTAGGTAATACACTAGGGGATGAGTTATAATGCCTTTATCAAAGAAAGCATGGTGTAAAGTCACTACAGGAAGAAAAGGGTCAGCAAAGGATGTGAATAGATTCCCAGATCCTTGACAAATCAAGGATCAACCAGGACCCCCCAAATTTCTATACAATGACCATCAGCTTTTATATGCAAATGAAGGTTTTTCATCTTTGACAAAATAAAGGTCTCTTTCTCAAAGATAGACAACACCTGTGAAATTTGAACAACCAACTATTTTGCTAACACACCCCATGATTTCGCTTTCCCTGACTACACAGTGTGTGTGTGTGTCTCACCATTGCCTTTCTTGGATTTCTTCAGAAATCCAAAAATCCACACCACTATTTTTAAATGTATTCATATTATCAATGCAATAAACTAAACTTTCTTAATAACTTTTTGTTAGCAATAGCAGATACATTTTAAATGTATGTACTAGGTATAACTGTGTAGTACTAGTGAGTGATAGTTACTGTCATGGGAGGTTTATAGGACACACCAGCCACATACTTTAATCTCTCTCTCCAACAAGAACAGCAAGAGGCAACTCCTGAGGCTACCCAGTTACTGCTAAGTCTAGTGCCACCTAGTGACTAAACTAAAAAAAGGTAAAGGTAAAGGACTCCTGACAGTTAAGTCCAGTTGCAAATGACTCTGGGGTTGCCACGCTCATCTCGCTTTACTGTCTGAGGGAACCGACGTCTGTCCGCAGACAGTTTTTCCGGGTCATGTGGCCAGCATGACTAAGCCGCTTCTGGCGAAACCAGAGGAGCACACGGAAACGCTGTTTCCCTTCTCGCCAGAGCAGTACCTATTTATCTACTTGCACTTTGATGTGCTTTTGAACTGCTAGGTTGGCAGGAGCTGAGACTGAACAACAGGAGCTCACCCCATCGCAGGGATTCAAACCGCCGACCTTCTGATTGGCAAGCCCTAGGCTCAGTGGTTTACACCACATTGCCACCCACATTGTGCAGTGACTAAACCACACAATGACAATATCCACACAGTATTACATATGAAAAAACAGTCACCACTTGCTAAGCTAGTAGATAATTACCACCTACCTTATGGCTGACCATTTCCTGATATTTGGTAAATCATCAATAGCAGTATGATACCATTCTAGTTACTGACCAAGGAGAGTCCTGGTTGGTACTGCTTCCACTTAGTGTTGACCCATTAATAGTAATGCCATCTGACACCTGCTGTCTTAATTTAGCTCTCAGGCTAAATTAATTTCAGTACCTTTCAACACTTCTCTTTCCAAATCTTATATCCATTCATGCTTTGTATCATCAAGAGGCATACCTTTTCCCATCTCATGTATACTGTATTATAGTAATCTCCCATTTCTGCTCATGCAGTTTACCTACTACATTATAACATGTAGTATTTAAAGCTATTATTATATACTAATATGACCAAGCTACTTTTCCATTATTTGTGCAAATTATGCAAAAGAAAACCCCCCACATCAACTCCTTGTACCTTCAGAGACAACTTTTCACTCATTATTAAATCTATGTAAGTTGACTACTGTATTAGATAAAAATCTAAAACACAAAACAAATAATATGAAGAAAAAAAATCATTCTTATCAAGTTGCAGTTATGACCCTGCTGCAATGACCATCTGCTAACATCTGCTATAAGCTTGCATTGGCTACAGAAATTAAAAGCTTTTGCTCACATGCAAAGAGGGTAAAAATAAAGCAGAAGGAAAATTCACTGCAGACTGCATATATTAATATCACTAACTTCAAAAGAGAAGATAAATAATTTTGCAGAAGATTTCCCCCATCAAAGTCTTCTATGAACTACTTTTTTATCTCAGTACAGTGATCCAAGCCACAATGGAGAGAAACAAAACTGATCACCGAGACACAATCATAGTAGTGCACCAAAAATGTGAAACCCACTGTACCTTGCCCTCCTGCTGTTGAACAGGTGTGTTCTGAACAAACTAACACTTGTCTTATCAACTTGACGTCATTGTTACTGGGTTGACAAGATGTTTCCATGACAAATTTGAAAGCTGATCTGACGATGCCTCAAGACTACCTCTCTTTTCCAACATTTTCATGGGTAACACCCACCTATTAGGTTGGATGAATGCATAGCTGAAATTTAACTTATGTCTTCATGTGCTTGGAAAAAGTAAAACAAAGCTATTTGTTGAGCTCTTCCCACAGCTTTCTGTTCTGGTTCTACTGTGACTGCACCTTTATGACCCATAACACAATGTAGTTTCAAAAGCTGTTGGCTATATCTGCATTAACAAAGGAAATCAGTAACGCAGGAAACGACAAACCTTGTAAGCACACAATTCTATTAGCACTTTGAAGTATATCCCTCCACTTCTACCCACACACAAACACACTGATGGCTATGAATTATCATCTCTAGCAGACAGAGCTCATAATAACTAGCAGATGTCTGAACTTTGCATGATTGGGAGGAGATTTCACATGGATTATGGAATGACACAGCTTTCCATACGTATCAGGGTGTTTCAAGGTAAAGTAATTTATGTTCTATAGTCATGGATGATAAGTTGCAGTGGAACAGCAGGAATCTGAGTAGCTTTCATATTCCATCCCATCACAGTTGCAATCCTCTAACAAAAGAATGCTAGAAGCAGGGCTCCGGGTGCGGAGGAAATTCCCACAGCACTTGTAGTTCTTTTAACAAATTACTGGTCTGCAGGTGGGGTAGAAAAGTTATCCCAGTTGACAATGCATATACTGTACATCCCTTCTTTTCTTATTTTTGTGTGTGAACAGATGCTAAAGACAATTATTAGCTTGATGCCATAAGGTAACCTTTCAAGGTTAAGGAAATGGGACTGAGCCTGTAGACACCACTAAGTAGAACAGTACAGTCATACCTCGGGTTAAAGTTGCTTCAGGTTGAGCGCTTTTGGGTTGTGCTCTGCGGTGACCCGGAAGTAACAGAACGTGTTACTTCCAGGTTTCACCGCTCGCGCATGCGCAGATGGTCAAAATTATGTCACGTGCATGCGCGGAAATGGCGAATCATGACCCGCAGATGCGGGTTGCGTTTGCTTCAGGGTGTGAACGGGGCTCCGGAACGGATCCCATTCGTATCCAGAGGTACCACTGTATAGTACACACTGGAGTGTCTGGCAATGATACGACTCTTGCCATGCGAGGGCTCCTCATTCTGGAATCGATCAGTGCAAGCCTTGTTCAAAAATTCCACATCGATCTTTGAAGCCCTGCCCTCTGAAATATTTTTACTGGGGGTGTGGCAGGCTCCAGGAAGTTGAGGCCAAGGGCAAGAAGCTGGGAAGGGACAGAAAGAATGAAACTTGATCCCATATATAGTAAAAGAGCTCTGCGTTTTAGTACAGTGGTACCTTGGTTCTCAAACTTTATCTGTTCCAGAAGTCCGTTCCAAAACTAAAATGTTCCAAAACCAAGGCACACTTTCCCAGAGAAAGTAATGCAAAATGGATTAACCCGTTTCAGCCTTTTAAAAAAACCCATAAAACAGCAATTTAACATGAATTTTACTAGACCATCTTTATGAGACCATTGATCCATAAAATGAAAGCAATAAACAATGTACTGCAGTCACACAATCAATCAATCAGTAGCTGAACTGGGTTCCACACAATCACAAAAACAAAACAAAAAAGAGCCGCAAAAACAAAAACGCAAAATAAAAAGCAAAAACAGGCAGACATCAGTGTAACACTCAAAATGGAAGTGTGGCACTCAAAACGGAAGCGTGGCACTCAAAAATGAGCACGTTTGGCTTCCGAAAAAGTTCGCAAACTGGAACACTTACTTCCGGGTTTGCAGTGTTTGGGTTCCAAGTTGTTTGAGTACCAAGGCATTTGAGAACCAAGGTACCACTGTATGTCTATTTAGAATATTCTTCTAAACTTCTACACAGTGCTGTTGTCAAGCATTCAGCTGCATACAACTAATTCAATTATTTTTCTTTGAATTTCTAAGACTAAAAACAAAACACCCGGTCACAAAATATAAATGAGTGATTAGGCCAGCAAAATAATTCAGGAACAACCAAACTCTTTCCTCCTCAAAATAAACAGCAGTAACTTTACTTTACTAGCAACCAACGATAGAAGGTAAGACTTGGCAACTTCTATTATTAGGAAATACATGTTATTTTTTTATTCTGATGATGAAAGTCAATACAAATCATTTGTTGTATGGCTGGGTAGGTCAATTGGAACCAGATTTCCAACAGGTAGCATCAGCACATACATATCCTTAATGCTCTGCATCTTGTTTCCAGCACATCATACTTTTAATAAATAATGCCCCCCCCTTCTATACATGTTGCTTCTAATTTGGTAACAGGAAGTTGATTTAATATATATATAAGGCAGATGCAACTTTGGCAGCTTTGTACAAGATATAACACCTTAATAGATATACTTTCTCAGTTGTCTATTATGGTTCATTGATGAGGAAGCAATATCTCTGCTGACCCCATGACCAGTGCAGATTTCTTCTGATGGTCACTAAATAATACACCTCTCTTTTAATCACCATATGCACATTATTGTCTCCAAATAATTATACAGCACCAGAACTAAGGATAGCATCAATAATCAAACCTGTATTGAAGTGTGTTCAATTCCTTGGAGTGACTTCTAGAACTCTGGAACTATTTGAACAACTTGTACGTATGTCTGGTCTCTCCACACTCTTCTCACAACTTGCAGTACAAAATGATGGATAGTGACCCAACTTGTAAGGAAGAGTTTTGTCTGCATCTCCTTATCTTGACAAACACACTTCTGTGTCAAAATTATCATGAAGAGCAAACCTCAGCAGAGAATGTCCCCTGCTTCACAAAGCAAAATTCCCTGAACAATATGTCCAAGAGAACAACTCTGAATCAAGGAGAGATTCGTCAGTTTAATTATGTTCAAAATGAGCATAATTAAGAAATCTTTTACACACTGCATTGCTTTCCACTGTACACATATAAGCACATTTTATATAAAAATATATAAACACACAAACACATGTACACACACACACACACACACAGCTATTATAGTGGGTTTGTACATCAACACCTCCAGACTCAGCATGTAGCAACATCGCTAACACAGCAAATACATCTACTGCACACATTTTTATTTGATTACCACCATTTTTGGAAATTTTCTCTGTGCTTCTCTGTGGCGTCTATTCTAGTCCAGAATTTTCAAAGTTCATTAATCTGTGGGTAATCTCTTTGAACAACAATGAATAATTTAGCACTTCAATCACTTCAGCTCTTATGAGCCAGAAACACTTTGTAAGGCAGTGCCCATATTGTCTGGAAGCTGTTATTTTATGTTCTGGCAGTCGTCATAGTAACTCATGGGGGAGTATGTGAAAAAGCCCATATTATATAGAAGAATGATAAGCATAAAAGTAAAATTTGAGAATGGATTCCATTCCAGGATCTACTATCTGTCCAAGCTGTATGCTTTAAAGCTTAGGACAGTGAATATCATGTGCTTGCTTAGGGGGTGGTGATAGCCTAGTTACATATTATTCACCCTCTGATCGGCTCCCTTTAATAATCTGCCATGAAATAAATGGCCCGTTCATAAGACACTGGAAACCAAGCTAAAAAGCCCTGTGCCACATCTAGGAAAGAATGGAAGAACTTGCCTTTATAGGTCAAATTTCAGAATTCTGTTTCCACAGAATGCAGAATACAGGATTGTGACCCCTCCCTTTTTCCCCAATGGAAGGTTGGGTAGGCTTTTTTTTTAAGAGGGTGCTTCGGATAGGAAATAATCTTCCTTAGACTCAAAGAGTTTGGATTATTATGCGCTAGTACTTTACCAATGCTCTGGTTGTATCAAAGGATGTTGGTGTGTGGAAGAGGAAAAAGCTTGTATATTTTATATATTACAAAAAATGTCTTCCCCATTGTATACTCTTTGATAAGCATCTCCAGTGGTCCACTATGCTGAATAAATTCCTCAAATCTCTCCCCGCCCCATGGGGAAATATTATTTGTAATATGTAAAATATACATGCTTTTTCTCTATATCTATCATGTTTACTTGTCAAGTAATATTAGGGCTGCTAGTTTTAAGGGCAGACCTTTTAATTGTTGAGGCTATTTTGATTCTAATACATCATGGTAATGGATCATAAAACCTATCATATTTAAGTATTTCCATAGTACTAGAGGAATGATAGCGTATATGTCTACTCAGGAATAAGCTCCACTGAGTTCAATAAGATTTCCTTGAAGGTAGGTGTATATATGCTTACAGACTAGTGCTACCTAGTGAGCTCATTAACAGAGATAAGGATTGAACTAGATACTTCCTAGTACTTTCATTTTAGTACCATAACCACTATGCTATACTTGCTCTTACTGAGGCACAAGTAACAATGAAACGATCACATCCGTTATTTCTAAAACGATCATAACAAGAACATGCATCTTACAGACAAGAGGGAAACAAAAAGCCAAAGTCATGAGAATATTGTCCATCTCCCTGGGATCTGAAGGCAGAATCCTGGATGCACTGCCACTTCTTGCCATATGAGTTATTATTAGATTCTGTGTGGCCTGAAAGAGACCCTTTTGATATGAAAACCTCCTCGGAGTCACGGTGTCTCTGAAGCATACAAAGCAGTGAACGTATCCGACCTGAAGCAAGTGCTAATGAATCCTACCAAACTTATATGAATGTTCAATTAGAATGTACAATTAGAATGGCTTGTTAGCCTAGTTGCCTCTTCTTTCTTCTCCCTTTCCCTAGCTCCACACCTCGCAGCCTACCCTAAGAGATCACTGAGTCACTCTTCAATGAAATAATCTTTAATTAAAGCTAGACCCACAGCTTGTTTTCTCACCCATCTAGAAACCTTGTAAATGCTTCAAACAGTAGAGAGGTTCCAAAACAAAAAGCCCAGAAGGGATCACTGAGTAAAACCTTTGTTAAAAATTGGTTCAGTGCATGATCTGAACCATTCTTTTCATCAGCCAAGCTTTCACACAAAGTTGCATGGCCTGCGATAATATTCTCGGGATAACCTTGAATCTTCAAATAAACAATAGCTTCTCTTTAGTGTCTTAAGAGAGATTTGCGGAAATGTTTAATAACAGTATCTGTTACTGTTACAGTAGCTGTTACAGAATTATAAAATTGTTTGATAAAAGATTAAGGCAACAGTGTGTCACTACAAAGTTAATATTGTTAGCACTTTGATCAAATTTGTAGTGTAGAGCATGCAAATAATATATATTGTAAATTACCTTTCCTGGTGTTTTCACCTGTCACTTTCTATCAATAATATCCCTGTTTTAGCAGATGTAAATGATTTGCCAGAGTAACTCATTCCTTAACCGGGGGATATATGCCTGAAGTTATTTATTAAGTGCCCTGCTTGCCTTAAGGACTTTATAAGCAAGCGTCAAAATGAAGAAAATGAAAGAGGAAGGTAAGTTAAATATATATTTCCGAAACAATATTTTATTTTTGTGTAACAGCCTTATATAAGCAGTGGCCAAATCCTAAATATTATTTAATGGGCTAGAGGTAAGGCAGGGTGTGTTCAGACAGCACTTTACTCTGTTTCTCCAGTGTTTCCTTACCTGATAATTTTCAATCTTTCACACAATATAAAAGCCCCTTCTGTAAATCTAGTGGAGTCTAGTGGAAGTTTAATGCTAACATTTCCATCTTAATGGCTTCCAGAAAAAAATCAGTTGGCTAACCAATTAACCTGGAAAATTGTGAGATAAGATTTGGGATGGTGTTCCAGCATAAAATTTCATAGGGGGAGCATGGGGGAACAGAAGCTCACACACACATAAAAGGTGGGGGATGGGATGGAAACCTGTTGGATAATGTGAGCTGTTGTGTCACACCACACCTTCTGCTATGAATGGAATTTAGTGTCATGTGGAGGTGCTGAATGTTAGAAACTGGGACAGAAGCACTAGCATTATAACCAGGAAAACTAACACAATAATCCTCATGTCTGAATCTACCCACAGGCTCTATGCATGAATGAGTGAGCAATAAAAAAAAACTACAGTGTCAGCGTGGAGCTGTTGAGGGGAAAAGGGTACACACACTAGCTTCTAGTAAATAGGAATCTTGGGCCAGGTTGTTCATGTGCATGCACTACTGTTATCCGGGTTTGGCTTGTAAAATGACAATGTAAACATGAACCTCACCCAAAACAGGCACATAGCACATAGCTAGTTCGAAATGGACAGCGTTAGCTGGGAATCAACATTAGCTATGTTTTCCCCTACTCTCAAACCATTAGATAATTGTCATTGATATCAGTACAAAGTACCCATTTCCATGACACCAATGTTTAAGGACAGCATGAAAGACATATATTAAATGGGCACTTAAAACAACAAGAGTGTCGAAAATAAAAAGTACAAAAAAAATACAAAAAAGAAGCCTTTAACTGCATGATCATACACTGTTCCTCCTTTAGTTAACTTTCCACAAGTGCTCCCATTTATGAAAGACATGCTGGACTGCAAATAACCCCAGCAGGGCAGTTTGCTCAGCAGCAGAGAGGGAATGTCTGCAACATTTCACCACACCCATTATCCCCTTTTATGGGTGGTCTGAGGAAGCACTTCCTTGATACTCTCTTTGATAGCAAATAAGTATATTAAAAAGGAATCTGTGGACTGGAGCTGCTTATTCTAGAGAAATGGATAATTATTTTTTTAGGTCCTCGCTTAAACACTTAGGTAGCCTCTAATAAGCTGACAAAACACAACATCACAGTATTTACACTTTCCATTTCAACTTTACACCTACTTAAAATGCTTGCAAGTTTATTCTGCCACAAGTCTATTCTGATCCTTTCAAGTTCTTCACCCATTTGCTAGAAATCTTGACTGAATGGTAACTATGTTAGTGACCGTGTCCCTATAACATGGAGCTGTTTTTCTGCATTTACACAAATGATTGTCCACCATATTTACACAAATACCAGTCCCACTCTACGAATTCTTACAACACATTTACATCCTAAATTGTTAATTCAAGCAGCAAAATAAAATCTGGCTTCTTCAAAAGGGGAGAACTCTCCTTCTCCTAATTAGAAATTGAATTGGAACACTGTTTCTACCTTTACAGACTTGGGTTTGAATAGTTCATTTTACTAGCTGATCATGATTATACTATTATTATCCCCTTGACCTAATGTGATGTAAGAGGAAAGGGAGGGGTTCAGGTCATACTCACTCTCTTCTTGATCTGTTTTGGTTGCCTCGAACTCATCCACTTTAACATTCTGCTCCTTTGCTGGCTGCAGCCTCTTTGCGGTTGAAGGCAAAACTGAAAAGGTTTCTGTCTGTCTCTCTCTCTCTTTTCCCCTCCCCTTGCCTGTCTGACTTTCCAGTGAAGCGTTATAGGTTTGCAACATGGTTTATTTCCTGCAATTTAGCACCACACAGTCATTCTGAACAGAGACTTTGTACCACCTCTGCAACTTGCATGGGCTGCCAACTTTTATGTCAGTAACTGGGCTTCCCTTATGCTTTGGAAGATTCAGCCATTCTGCCTACAGCGAGATCACATGTACATCAGAAGCATCTTGTGATTTACAGACATTGCATAAGCAATTAGCTCGAATAGCAAATAGTTCACTAACATGAGGTTTAGCTGAAAGCTATGGTGTCTGCACTACAAAGACATCTTATGAAGGTATTGATTGTAAAATGATTTTTTCACACTGCCTAAACTACAAGGCAGTGATGGGCTGACAATCTGATTAGCTGGCTAAGGACATTCAACTCCTCTATTTCAATATTATGCTTTTAAAAAAGCTGTTTGGCTATCTTCAGTCTCTTCTATGGTTGTGTTTAAATGCAATGCTAAACTGTAGCTTAAGGTTACAAGAATGAAGGTGTATATCAACTGTGTGGTTGAGAAGCAGCAAATCATAAATAAGAGAGCTTTGCTCAGAATGAACCAGATGCCTATAAGAGTTGTGTCTCAAGCATCTTTCAGTGATTACAGTGTGAAGCTCTTACATAAAACAGTGTTTCTAAGGGTGCTTTGTCAAACTACAGTCCCAAATTCAAAACAGAAATTCAGATTTCGCTGTCTCTATATTAATAGTTAGCTATTCTCAAGCGCCTGCCAACCTAGCAGTTCGAAAGCACCCCCGGGTGCAAGTAGATAAATAGGGACCGCTTACCAGCGGGAAGGTAAACGGTGTTCCGTGTGCTGCGCTGGCTCGCCAGATGCAGCTTGTCACGCTGGCCACGTGACCCGGAAGTGTCTGCGGACAGCGCTGGCTCCCGGCCTCTAGAGTGAGATGAGCGCACAACCCCAGAGTCTGTCAAGACTGGCCCGTAGGGGCAGGGGTACCTTTACCTTTTTTATTCTCAAAACACACTGTTTATCCCCTAATTCAACATTAAGTATGAAAGTTGTTTTTGCTTTTAAAACTGACCTGGTTATAATAAATTGTGGGTGTGTTGAGAAGTTTGGGAAGGATGTCCTCTGGCAACCTTTCAAATGTCTCTTTTGGATGATGTGGAAGAGCACTAATAATGCACACCATATGATTTGTACTAGTCAAACATAAATGTCTTATTAATTTGATTAAAGCCATGCATAATCACAGGGTTAGAAGTGACCCGAAGATCTTTCAGCAGCTCCTGCATCTTGAAAACATAGCATTCCTTTACCATTTACACACACACACCACACATTAATCTTGCCTATAATAAAATAAAATAACACAAAATATCAAACACACGCAAAAACTAAACCAAGTGTGAATATGGTGTACTGTATCCCACAATTTCTGAAATTGCTCCAAGATGCATTCTCCTGTAAAAGGCACACATACATTCCAAGATTGTCAGCCAATATGACTAGGCTATTTGCATGCTTTACAAAAACCCTTCCAAAGTTCATGTAGGTTTGTACATTAAATATAACTTCACAATGGGAGCTATGTTCAAAACCTGGTCTAATTTAGTGGCCAGGGACAGGTGATAGTGGATTATTTGGAACCCAACACAAGTGTCTGGCAGAAGAGGGTGCCATGACAATGGTAACAAGAAGACCGTGTCACAACATTAAGGAGCAAACAGAATGAATCCTTTCTTGAAAATCAATTCAGAGGTGTTGGGGGCACAGAGGCAGGCAAATCCATGCAATCTCTTACATTATAACTAACTCTTTGTACCAAGCCTTCCTAAAAAGTCTTACAAATTTTGTCGAAGTCTGAATGCAAGCAGCTGCTCAGCCATAGGCTTCTTCATTTCAGGCATCCACAATATTCATTCATTCATTCATTCATTCTACTGCTCATCATCCAAAGATCACAGGGCAGTTTGCAATATAAAAACATATGTTTTTGGTCATTATAGGGCCAATAACGTGCCCAATGAATGAGATGGGGCCAGCAGTGCAACTCCACTCCTAGTAGACTAGTTGCTAATCATATCTTGAATTCCCAGTGTCAGATACAGACTCTAAAAACTGATCAACGGTTGGACAGAGTATATGAGCATTGCTGAGGCTGGAAGGTGGGACAGAAGGTAAGTAACATTTAAATATCCAATTCAGCTTCCCCATATCTCGTCCATCTGTTCTTCACTGCCATAGCACCTTTTGCCCCTAGCCCTGCTTCTGCTGAGTGAACTTCTCCATCACCTGGCCTCTCCCTTACTCTATTGATTCTGCATGGCACTGTCAGCATGCAGCCTACTGCAGGGTAGCCTCTTGCTGTCACTCTTGACCTCATGATGACATTGTACTGGATGAAAGATAGTAATAGCAGAAGAAGAGGACTCAGCATGCTTCCTTATTCCCTCCCCACCTCCACAATTATCGGGCATAGCTCAGATATTTTAAAGGATAGAAAGGGGGAGGGGAGGAAAAAGAAAAGCCTGCTTGTGATTCACATATGCAGTGCTCCCTGGGTGCAGATGCAAAAGGCCACAGAAGCACAAATTATTGCTATTTGAAAACGCCTACCTGTCCCCTTCAGTGCAGAACCCCAAAGGTGGTGACAGAAAAATGAATATTTCTCAAAGTCTTGAGTGTGGGAAGCAAACATGAAATCTTTGTGCTCTTGATTCATTTGTGTATGTGTCTTTCCACCCAGGAAACCGCTTTGTCGATCGACCCCTTTATGCATCACAGTCAATTCAAGAGCCTGCCAGGGGTGGGGGTGGGGAATCACATGGACAGCTTTACGTGGGTGACCCAGAAAGGGAGGGGGGAGTCATAATTGTTGCATTATGGGAATTGCTGGTTAAACTCTGCTCAGAAGCAGATGGGGTAATCAAAATTTACACTGCAAGCACATGCTTTGGACGGTTTGCTTTTATAAATGATGAACAATCTATAGCAATGGCAGAGTTCTTTCTTGCTCACCGCCTTCCCAACTATAAGCCAATAAGTTCCTGCTGCTAAAACTTAATAGTTTAAGGCTCTGAAGTATATCTAAGCCATTTTCTTATGGATCATTACTCTATGTGTTCTCATGAACTAAATGGAAAGAGACCACCCTACTTCAATTTTCACAATGTGCACCTCGTGTTAGAATTCACAATCTCATCCAGGTTTACTGAAAAGTAAGCCTCATTTAGTTTGATAGGGTGACTTTCAAATAGGTGTACAAGGGACACTTAAAGTGCAATGCACCTTTTTTCTGGAAAGCAAGAGGAAGTATTTCTGTTCTGACTTTAGTATGCTACAAATACACAGGACAGTAGCCTACCAACTGCATGACTAGGGGAAAACTTATTTACTCTAAGCCAAACAACCAGGAGATTTAAATTTTAAAAAAATCAAGTTATTTTTATCAAAGAAAATACTACCACTTTCAGTTGCTCTAAAACTACACAAAGAGAGAGAAAAGCAAGGAGGAAACAAACAGGAGAAAGGAAAGAACTCTGGTGATTTGGAATTGAGTTGCCAACCTGTGGCTTACAGATACCCACTAATCAGTCAAAACCAAAATATCAGGATGCTTCACGAAACTGAGGAATATTTGATTCATTTCAACAAGTGATGCTGAACCGGATCATAGTTATATCTTGGGGGGGGGGGAGATTCCAAACTACTCAAACAGATTTACCCCCATATTGCTAAATAACTTCTAAATGATAAGTTATATTGTTCTACACATAAAATGGGATGTTACTGTCACTGAAAATTCCCCCTCAATAAAGTTTTAAGTATTTGTAAGTATTTGTAATCTCAACTTTTGTCCCTTAGGCAAGGGTGGGTGGGTGAGAACCCTATTACAATATTTCCTACAGTCCCCAGTCCCCAAAATCTCAATGAGTTACTAAGCAGAATCATTCATTTTATATCTCAAGTAATTCTGAACAGCTTTGTGCACATGAACACTAAGGCAGTGCTACTTGAAGTGGTAGTCTGTAGACAGGAGCCATTGGCTGCCAATGCCCGGTGACTTCACCACAGCCCAGGTTGGGTGTGACGCTTCAGAGACCGAACATGGTACAAGTCCCTAGCACATTGGGGGTGGGTGATTGCCGTTCCACCACATCAGATACCTGCACTGGGCACCATGCTGCAGCGGGCACCACAATAATGCTGTAGAACAAAGTGTGAGAGATGGGAGGTCAGCCTCAACAAGCTTTGTAGCCAAGAGGGATTGACAAAAGAGCAAGAGAAAGATACCTGCATACTTGGTGAATCTTGAGGAATATAGAAACACAAAAAAATGGGGGTGGGGGGGTTGAGAAACAAACACAGATGGAGCACTTCTCCCCGCCCCACACGCAAAAGGTTTTGAATACAACTGCACAAGCATGCAGTATATGTCAATCTTGCTATGCTCTTTGGCTGTCTCATAATCTGTATGGGTCAGGGTTTGCGTGGCAGGCTTTCAAAAACCATCACACAGGCTCTTGACAGAAGGAGGACAACAGAAGCAAGAAGCAGAAGGAGAAACTGAGTGGAGAAAAGAAGAAATCCAAAGGATGACAGCGAGGAGGGGGCAATAAGGAGAAAGCAGGAGGTAGGAGATAGGGAAAGACAATTTATGACAGAGTGAGTGAGAAGGAGTTGGGTGAGAGCAGAGGCAGCAAAGAGGAGTAAGGAGAAGGTAGGATGAAAAGGACCAAGAACAAGAGATGGTGAAGGTGGGGCTGGGGGCAGAGGAGAACAGAGTGATCAAGTGAGAGAGAATGGACAGGAGCAGAGGTGGAGGGAGGGGAAATGGCAGCATAAACAGTGGAACACAAAGAGGAGAAAGGAGAGAAGTATAAAACGAAAGACACAGTAGGGATTGCAGAAGAGGAAGTTAGAAACAGGGTGACAGGTAGGGGAAGGGAAGGGAGAATCAGGAGTGAGGTGTTGTATAGGGCACTAAGCTTTTTAATCCAAGCAACATTTTGCTGTGGGTTCTCATTATGGCATTCCTCCCACCCTGGCTGGGTCTCTTGTGCTGTAACTGAGTTAATCTGAAGAACCAATCTGGTGATCTTGCTGCCCTACCTTAGCAGGGGAAATAGCTCTGTGGGAAGAAACAGACACCATTCTCTCTATTTCCTGCCCTTTGTCTACCTTTCCATTTCCATGATGAATTATTTATTTCTTCCACAGCAATTCCATGTAGGCAGTTAACTATTTCAGAGTCCTACCTAAGACAGAACAACTCTTTAAAATAATAATAATAATAATCCCAGCAGTACTGGAAATAATCCAGGAAAGAAAGCAATAATGTATGTGTCACCATTGATTACATACGCACACAAATTCAGGCATTGAAGTCTCCAGAAGAGACGTCAGTGACACCACCCACAAAATGCTGTGCGTAGATAACCATCTGCCACCATGAGTGATGCAAATGCATTGGAGGTGCAGGGCATCAGATTTTCAACAAACAAATGAATAAATAAATAACATGAATTTTCACTGTTTATTTTTCATTATTTTTCTTTGTGAGTCATGCACCCTAACCTTTTGAAATTACTAATTAATAACAACCGGATGTCTCACATTAGTACCTGTGTGGTGAGCATTTATTGGGGTAGGTCAATGAAGAGTTCTCAGAACTTGATTGCTTTAACCTCTTACTTGGACTTTGGTGGGAAACTGCTGTTTCTGCCAGAGAATTGCGTTTTAGTCCAGTCTTTGTTTCTCTATTGCTAGGGAGGGATGGGGAGGGTGTGCATTCAGAATCTCAACCTGCGCCTGCTCTTATAATTCCCACTTACTGAATTGGCTCCACTTCCATATGTGTGTTGGGGGGGGGGAGATTTGAGGATACATGTTGCAGGAATGTACACCTGCTCTACGGTGGCATTCTCTTTACTATCTGATAGATAAGACTTGATTCCTGTATACAGTGCTTGTTTCTAGAAAAACAGGTGCCAGTACTCACCATGAAGCTGTTACAGTAAGTGCCACATTTTTTAACAAAAAAAGAGAGGTGTACCGGTACCGTGTACCCTTGAGTAACCCCTGAAAAAAAGCACTGCCTTTATATAAAACACTAACCACATAGCGTTTTGTTCTGTTGTTTGATTCTTACACTTGAAACAGTTATGACCACTAGAATAAAAAGAGTTTTCTATTTGGGGAGAGGGAGCTACATCAATACAGAATAAAGACTGTTGGCAGCATATTTGATAGCAGCACATTTGAAGGTAAAAAGGGCATTGTCTATTCCTCTGCAGATAATCCATATGGGAAAGTTATTATAAGTGGATTCTGAGTTGTATTGTCAAAGGGAGACTTCATGCTCACCAAAGAAACACTTAACTTTAAAAAACAGTTAAATGCCACTGGAGCTGCCAACGCTTCCTCCTCCATGTTCCAGCAGCCAATCAGGATCCACAATGATGCAAGCCAAACAGGACATCAAGCAACACAGAGCTGCTTGCCCACCCTCCCGCTACAGCTCCCCAGTGTCATCGCAGGAAGACACATGCTCAAAAATAATACAAGCCAGACTGGAACTCTAAAAGGCAAAGTGACAATCATATTCTGCCCCCTCCCCATCATGGAGAAAATTTGAAATAAGTTACCAAAATACAAGTCAAACAGAAGGGAGTCTCCATACCATACATTACAATATGAAAATATAACATAAGCATGGACTTCAGATGAGAGCCCCATGGGTCCCTGGCTCCTGACTGTGGTAGATGGGACTTGATGAATTTTAGCAGTTGCATAACTAAGGGACAAAGTAAGTAAGTAAGTAAGTAAGTAAGTAAGTAAGTAAGTAAGTAAGCAAGCAAGCAAGCAAGCTGCATATTGAGTCAAGCAAAATGAACACAGGCAGTAGAAGAGCAGGCAAATGGAAGGCAAGAGACAGGTAAATTCTGCCACCATATCAACCCAATGTGTCGAACTGTTCAGACACTATTTCTGATGGCATTAATACAGCCTGGATAATTTTTTCTTATTGTTCACAGCCTACAGGAATACACACACCCACACCCACACACATATATATACAGTCGTACGTTCGCTTACATATCCCTCCGGTGACGTAAACTTCGGGATACGTAAGCAGCAAACCCGGAAGTATATTTCCGGGTTTTTGCCACATGCGTGTGCACAGAAGCAGTCTCTCCAGTTGCGAAAACCTCAGGATCCGGCCAGACCTCTGGAACAGATCCCGTCCGCAACTGGAGGTCCCACTGTATATATATTTTCAGTGAGTGGTATATAAATTGGCTGAGTATGTTTTAGTATAAATGTGACCGGTTAGAAATCATTTTTTTCCACCTGTAACATGCAGCCTTTGGATGTTTCAAAAAAACTGCATCACTCCCTGAGAAAGCAATGTGTGACATATGCACATAATAGGAAATCACTGAATGATTGGCCTTTGCTTCAGTTTTGCAGGGATGGGAACAGCTGGAGAGGCACTGCAGATGTGTTGCCATGGGAAATTTGCCTTAAATTCTCAGAAAATGCATAATCTTCTTTGAGGATGGGGATGTTGGTGGCCAGAGTGGTCAATAAGTGAGTAGATCTGCTGCCAGCTGCTAGGGTTTGCAATAGTCAGGATAAGGTGTACAGTCTAAATTATGCCACAGTTTCCAAAATTTGAAATGAAAAAAAATAAAAAGATCCTTCAGACAAAATATTGCAGACTTCAAAATGTATTGCCAACAGACTTGGTTCCTTGCTTTAAGGTCACTAATATTGTGAGCAAGATTATTGTGGTTTCTCAAGGGCTTTGATTATGTGCTTAATTGTATTAGGTCATTCTTTACAAAAAAAATTGAAATTCAGAGATTCAGACTGCCAAGAAAGTTAAGCAAGTGTACAACCATGATAACAAACTAGAGCTTGATCTCTAATCGCTTAAGCAAACCACATACAAAATTGTTCCTAAGAAAACAAAACAAAAGAAAGAAGCATAGCTAACTTTTGTGCTGCTTCTGAACAATGTGTTTGGAACAGTGCATTTGCCCAGCCCTACTGACCTTTTAGACATCTGTGAAGGATCATATGACTGCCATTTTATTGGAAGGAAATTAAACCAATAACACCGGAATATGCCTTTAATGCAAACATAATTTGTATATCTTAGGACTCCTATAAAAGTTATTCATTTAAGATTTACTCCTGTTTCACAGGTTTGCTCTGCCAACAATGCTGCTTATGATATTTACCCTGCTTCTGGAAAGGACATATGTTCGATCATGGAACAGACTCCCTCAGGTGGTTGTGGACTCTCCTTCATTGGAGGTTTCTAAGCAGAGGTTGGATGGCCATCAATGGTTTAGTTCAGATTCCTGCATTGCAGGGTTTTGGACTAGATGACCCTTCCAACTCTACACTTCTATAATTCTATGGCATGTACCATAACATTGTCCCAAATGTACCGCAGACAATACTCTTCAGGCAGTTTAGGATTTTTTTTATACCTTTACTGCTTTTGTATCTGAACCAAACAGTGTTATTTCAAGACTCAATAGCAATCAGCAAACTACAGCTCAGTAATTGCTTCTGCATGATTCTAGATTCAGGTAGGTAGCCATGTTGGTCTGATGCAGTCGAAATGAAATAAAAAAATTGTCCAGTAGCACCTTAGAGACCAACTAAGTTTGTTCTGGGTATAAGCTTTCGTGTGCATGCACACTTCTTCAGATACACTGAATCAGAAGTCTGCATTCTGAACTGTGTGCCTTGGGACTCTATCTATCTACTGTATATGTCTGTCTATCTGTCTATCATCTATCTATCTATCTATCATCTATCTATCATCTATCTATCTATCTATCTATCTATCTATCTATCTATCTATCTATCTATCATCTATCTATCATCTATCTATCTATCTATCATCTATCATCTATCATCTATCTATCTATCTATCATCTATCTATCTATCTATCTATCTATCTATCTATCTATCTATCTATCATCTATCTATCTATCTATCTATCATCTATCTATCTATCTATCATCTATCTATCTATCATCTATCTATCTATCTATCTATCTATCTATCTATCTATCTATCTATCTATCTATCTATCATCTATCTCTATCTATCTATCTATCTATCATCTATCTATCTATCTATCTATCTATCTATCTATCTATCTATCTATCTATCATCTATCTATATCTATCTATCTATCTATCTATCTATCTATCTATCTATCTATCTATCTGTCTGTCACCGCTGAAAGATCAGGAAACAATACCAAGCAGATGCAGTTCTGTTCCCAATCAAATTAATATGGCAACTGAATATCCAGATCTGAACAATGCATTCAATGAAAACAGAATCCAATCATCTTCAAGCATTCCACTATGTCAAAGAGAGAGAAAAAAGAGACTATTCAACCCCACAAAATGACTCCTTACCAGGTTTTGCACCTTGGACACCACACTAAAGTCTTGTGCTGTTCTTGCTGAAGTGCATTTGAGTTCCTGGACCTGGCAGCCCTCTTCATATGTGGTTTATCAATTCCTGACAGGGCCTCTTCTAACACCACCAATTTCCAGGGTCCAACAAGCTCACATTCCCCATCTGTCTATGCCTCCAAGCAATTGTGCTGTGCAATCTGAAATGTGTTCCTTAAAATTTTGAGGAAGCAAGCAGAGCCTCCCTCAATCCAGAAGTAGTACCCTGATGGCCACCAGAATATTGAAAGAGTTTCTGGGCTACAAATCACAAATCACACACTAATCTACCTACAACCAGCCTGGCTGCTTTACTTTTCCAGGATACTCACACTCACAAAGAATGAGTTGTATTCAATTGTGTTCCTTCGCTGAGAGAAGGGCAATTTGATCCAATTGAAGCTTCTATGAGTAGAAATGCAGAAACATTGAATCATAGAATCTTTGAGTTGGAAAGGACCCAAAGGTCATCTATTCCAACCCCCTGCAATGCAGGAATCTCAGCTAAAGCATCCATGACAGATGGCCATCCAACCTCTGCCTAAAAACCTCCAAGGAAGGAGAATCCACAACCTCCTGAGGGAGACTATACAACCTCCTGAGGGAGGAGGTAATATTTTCTGTGCCCCTCAAATCTGCTCCAGAGGATGTTTTTGAATAGAATGGAAAGCGACACAAGGGAAATTTGCAAAAATCACCTCCTGTCCCTTTCCACTCATGGAAACCTCCACAGGATCAAAGAGACTTCTGTCAGCTGAGGGACAAAGTTGGACATGACCTGATATGAACTCTATGCAGCCATGGAACGTAAAGGGACAGTTTAAGCCGTTCCAAAAAGATAGAACACTTAATTTTTATCTCTGACGACAGTTTAATGCATTCTACCTAGAATCAGCAGTGCTATATTTTCAAGAACAAATCCTACCTTGTCACTGTCCACTGTATTTTGAGAAGTTCTGGATGCAATTGAAATTGTGTCTGGCTGACTGCTCCCATCTCCTTGGCTGTCGGCATCTTCTCCTCCCTCTCTGCGGGGAAAGAACCAGAAAATTTCGTCAATGGATTTGAAAACTGCTCTGCTAGTGTGTGAAGAGTCAGTTGCTCAGCTGATCACATTTGTGTTACAACTCAATCTGTAATTTAGAATGATGTCACCTCTACCATGAAGCTAGCACATAATAACCATGTTTGCTCTTGGAAATTGACTATCCTGGGCTTATATGGTGACAGCAATGTTTCTTAAAATAGCTCTGTAATGAGGGTGGCCTGCCCATAGCCCATTCTGCTTGGATTTCTCACATAACCAAACCAAGCTATCTAGATTATAGCCTTGCTGTTTTGGAAAACGGACGCCAATTGCCAAGGGTCATTTCTCAGTCCTTGCATTTTTAGTAGTTTGAATTAAGAAAGCATAACAATCTTTAAGGAAAAACGTACAAAACATTAATGTACTTATACCCTTCCCCTCCATTTTATATATTTCCTCCATTTTACAAGAGTTTGGAGTATTTCCTACCTTTCCATTCAAATGTTCTCTCTGTAAGTCATACTATTGTGATTTTTTTTGGTATGTAGCAGGGGGCAGGTTGTATGCCCGAGTCCCTTCTAATTCCTGAATCCAACAAAGATTCAATTGCTGGAATAGCCAGGCAAGTTTCTTGGTAATGGCTGGCTAATTATGGGTTGCTAAGGTAACAAAGGAAGTGGCTCCAAGCCAGAGGTAAAATGGTTCGGGGGGGGGGCTCCCACATATAACTGTTAGTTAGAAAGACCAGAGTTGAGGAATGTGAACTAGAAGCAAGGAACCAGCTGGGCAGCTGAGAGACAGAGCCATGCCTGATTTCTGCTGGATCCAAGGTTATGGCTATGGGAGAAACTGATCCCTGTAGACAAAGTTTATTGTGCTGTTGATATTCACTGAAACAGCTATTTATACAATTTCTCCCTCACTGACAAATCTTCACAAAGCCATTGCATAGCAAACCAATTACCTTAAGCAGAGCATCAAGTGATTAAAAATCATGACTATTCCAAGGAATTACTAAGATTACCTCTTACTGTTGTTTCTTTGCTTTGCTGGGGTTTTGGGGAGCTGTATTGGCTCTTTCAAGGCTCCCTTTAAGTGTATCATCCTTTCCTGAATCACTTCCCGAATATTTTTTATCCACTCCTGTTTTGTTTCAATATTGGATGCCTAAAGAATTCAACAGAGAAAGCAGAAGTATGGCTTCATGTTCTAGTGCTTTGTTTCAGTTTCTTCCATTCCTTTGTTCTTCATTAGAGAACAATCTGCCTGGGTAAATCATAAGTAGTTCAAGTGTCAAAAGCACCTGACCAGCTGCTTTAGCAAAAACCAGATAAATGTGTGTAGTACATGAAATACAATACGCCTGACAGAGGGGGAAATAGGATGTTGTTCCATCACTAGGATTTCTGTATGCTACAAGGTCCTTGTTAAAACAAAATCAATCAGCAAAAATGACCAGCTTGTTCAGGTGGTGAAAAAATCGTTAGAGTAAAAACAATCCAGAGAGACTGGGCAGTAGTTAAGGGCGGCGGGGGGGGGGAATACTATAAAGGAACTTTCAGTGAACTTGATTCTCTTCTGTTATAAGCAATGAATAGCAAATACATTCCTTACGTCACACCACGTCAACACCACAGACCATTTCCCCCTCCCCCCCCTCTCCCCCCACAACTGCATGTCTATAACAATAGTCTCTCATACCGAACATAAACCAACTATGAAAAAGACTCTATGAATTGAAAATGGAGACGCTATATGTCCTCTTCCTTGTTTATGTGTTTGTTTTTTAACATAAGAAAATCTTTAATAAAAACCAATTTTAAAACCCCCCCTGCAGACTACTTCAGTCTCATGAATCTGATAATTTGTACCTGATCTGCATTCAATTGGACCACATGGACTTTTCCTAGCAATGCCTGGGTATGATTTAATTTCCTATCAACCTTCTAGACCTTACTTTTTTTTTAAAAAAAAACAACAACTTGCTAGGTGCCTTGTTTTAGTTAGGAAAGTATGTTGTCTATCAAGGACAAGGGCCATCATTCTCTTTAAAGCCTTTGAAAGGTGTGTTGTTTGATTTGTAAATCAAATGAACTTTCAGGTTACAAGTACCCAGGAAATCCTTAGAGAGGTAGATCAATATTGCAAGATGGTCCTAAGTCTGTAGCCTTAAGGAATGTGACTAGAGAGTGTGTGGAATTTGTGTGTAAGCCTTCATGATTAATTTGTTGTTGTTTTTTGCTCCATTTGTGGGTTGAGTTTGTTTTTCTATAACCTTTCCACGTAAAACCCTTTTCTTAAGAAATTATTCTATCACTTTAGTACACTTTTATCTACACTTCATTAAAACCTTGTTATCTCTGATTATTCACCATGCATGTCTTAAGCCAAGTTCTATCCGGGTGGCGCTGTGGGTTAAACCACAGAGCCTAGGGCTTGCTGATCAGAAGGTCGGCAGTTTGAATCCCCGCAACGGGGTGAGCGCCCGTTGCTCTGTCCCAGCACTTGCCAACCTAGCAGTTTGAAAGCACGAAGTGCAAGTAGATAAATAGGTACCGCTCTGGCGGGAAGGTAAACGGCGTTTCCATGCACTGCTCTGGTTCGCCAGAAGTGGCTTAGTCATGCTGGCCACATGACCCGGAAGCTGTACACCGGCTCCCTCGGTCAAAGCGAGATGAGTGCCACAACCCCAGAGTCGTCCACGACTGGACCTAACAGTCAGGGGTCCTTTAACTTTACGCTACTTTAAGTTGTTCTTGGGAAGACATGAGGGAAACTTTTAGGCCAATTGATGATAAGTAGCTTGGGGGGGGGAATAACCCAATCACTTGCTGGTAGAAAGCCCTGAAATGGGGAGAGTGGGTGAACAGGAGCCATTCTGTTTGGCAGGATCTGAATCCCCATCACAGCACAGGACCCAAGGTGGCTAAATCATATGGGCACAGCATCCTAACTCCTACCTCAAAGCCAGTTCAGCTGCTACATCATTATGAATGCAACATCATCAAGTGGATTGTATAGGTATGCAGTCTCCCAGCTGTGGAAGTAGAGAACTGCTAAGGAACCACAATCTGAAGAACTGGACTCTATTCTACATCAAACTCAATATCAAACTGCCAGCTGTACCACAGAGCTAGATTTATCTAACAACATATGGCTGCTGAGGTAGAACAATGAGATGAAGACACAGAAAATAAACTTGGAGACTCACTTTCAGCACTGTTTTGTTATCTGAGGAGGGAGTCCGTCCAGACCACAAGGCAAATTTGCAGGGATCTCCTTCCACATGCTCTGTCACTCCCAGCTCTGAGGTCTGTTAGGAAAGAGAGATGGTTGGGAAACACGTTTTCTACAGACTTAGAACTGAGGCTAGGAAGAAACTCACATCTAGTATCATACTGCAACAAATGTAACTTTATTGAATAGTGTTAAGCCTTTTCAGGTATCCTCTGCAATTGCTTCCCAAGTAAAGTAGAATAAAGCTAATCCTCATGGGATGTGGCACCAAACTGCTAGCATCTTCCAAATTTGTTACAAAGACATGCACACCTTAATTCCCCGCCCTTCATACTTAAAAAATAAGCCCATACAAACATTCATCCTAGTCTCAGCAAACATACCAGTAATTTGTTCTTGTAAACATATTTAGTATGCCCTGCAGAATCTTTGATCTCTTTGCTGAAAACAAGAGAAATTTCAAAGAGAAACAAATGTCTCTCACGACCCTTCCGGATGAGAGATTTGGGGTCCCACACTTGAAAGGAATCTTGAAGGATCAGTTCTCCCTGAACATCCAGATTTTCATCAAATCCTGCATATAAAACAAATCAGATCAAATGAAAAACATAAAGATCATGAAATGAAGTTGGTTTTAGACAAACTGATAAGAGAGAGACTGAGAAATGAAACTTGTTCTCTAAAGAATTACCAAAAGTAAGGGAAGAGGACATATGTGCCATATCTATAAATGCCATGAAATTCTGTGCAAGTCCGAGATTGTGTCTGATCTCCTTGGCATATCAATCTTGTGTTCCACCACCGAGACCCCCTTTTCCTTCCCAAAAGGGGGATTCCATAAATGGGGTGAGGAAGCAATGGCCCTTTGGAACTCTGATGCAAATACACACTTGCTAAAGTTGTACAAAACTACAGAACAAATATATATATTATGCAACAAGAGGGAAAGGGATTGGTGAAGATGTGTCGAGAAAGGAATGGGGTACTAGTTAAACTTGGACAAAGTGTGGCAACTTCAAGGAGGTATGTTGTGTGTTGAAAACAAAAACTTTTAAGAATGTGTGGCACAAGTTATAGACAGTCTCAAGTTCTTTCTTTCATTCTTTCTTTGGGAGCAGGAATCTGCAAAGTTAGTTAGTAAAGCCAAGTATCTGTAAATGCAGTTATCTATTTATCCATCCAAAAGAACGCTCACTTCTGCACTTACTGGCGTATTCATGTATGTATGTATGTATGTATGTATGTATGTATGTAGTAACATTCCTCTCCCTGCTGTCAAAATATGCTTACCTTCCAACATGCTAACATGCATGGCATCATTGGCTTTCTTGGGAACACTGAGCATCACTTCCAAACCATCCTTGAGTTCTCCCTTCCCTTCTTCACAGCATGTTAAAAGCTCCTGAAGAGAAACAGAAAACAAAACTGAACCCCATAAAAGATTGCTGCTTCCTTAATTTGCAGTCAATAAGAACATTCAAATCAAGTTATTAGGCACCTGGATGAGTGTGTATCTTGTCAGATGTAGATAATGTTGATATAACGTCAATAACAAACACTCTCCACTTTACTGAATATTAAAGTTAAGTTCAGTACTGGGTATTATTATCACAATATTGCTTCAGCCCCTTTTCTCCTTTGTGACCCAACCATCTCTGAGCTCCACCCAGTGACTTTGCATGTGACCCATGCCATTTTGATAGTGACTTGCAGACGAGCAAACATGTGGGTTCCTGGAGAGATTATAGTGACTGCTATGCTCCTCCTCCAGTTCTGCTGCTGCCACATTACCTGGGGTAAAGCTATGGTTTGGCTTAGCAGTATATCCAAACCCAGGCTTGTGGTTTGTCTTACTACAGACAAACCATGAGCCACAACTATGGTTTGCTCTTGATTTACAACTCATGCTTTGTTTAGAGGAAACAAACCACATCCTCAGGTTCAGATGTGATGCTAAGCCAAACCGTCGCTTAGCCCTGGGTAGCACAACAGAAGCAGAACCAGGAGAGGACAAGGAAGAAACGCAACATATATTATTATAACAATGAAAAACTTAATGATTCTCCAAGCCTGCTATCTAGTATCACAATGTACCTTGTAAATGAAATCTAAGTTAGATTACTCAATCTGAGCTGGTGTGGGATTCACATTCCTCTCAGTTAGTGTACCATCAGTTAAATAAAGGCATATGCAAATAAGTATCATAAGAGTAGAAACAAATCACTGATGTACCTTCAATAAAAGCTGGTATTTGGTAATCCTCTGGACAGGTTTGATTAAGTATGAGGAAATGGAGTTGGCCAGACCATGCCTCTGCTGAATTTCCTTTAAAAAAGTCAAAACAAAACCACAGTTAAGTTAAACATATAAATAGAACATGATGAAAAAGTTCCTAGACTTAGTCAGTTTGAAAAGCAGCCACACATAATCAATTTTAGCTGCACAATACCTGGGCTAACCAGTTTTTTTTTGAATAGATAATTATTATGTGGTTACCTGATGGATAACAGTATATCCACAGAGAAATTTTATAACATTCCTTGTGGTCATTGAGGGAGACCGTTCAATACAAATATGTCAGTTAAGGCTTTCCCAGTAAAATAATAAATGGTTTGTTTTAAACAGATCTTTACTCCCATAAAAAGGTGATTTTTTCTTGATAATTAACATTAAAGCCAAGATCAATTTTAATATTTTGGCAGGGATGGTGGGGGAATTGCTAAGCCCCTTCTACATATGGAAATTTTGATTGCTTTTTAACTTGCAGGAACCCTTTGAGCATGGTTTACTAAATCTGAGTGAAATACAGCCCCAACAAAATTAATGGGGCATAATATGTATTGTTCCTTTTCTGTTCAGCAAACAAGAGAAAGCCAGTTAAATCTTCCTGATTCTCATCACAATCCGTAGACATAGGAGAGTTCTCCCTGTCTTCTTCAAATTGCTCCTAAACTGAAGTGCTTTGTTTCTGTGTAGTGTATCTAAACAAAGGTGTGCAGTGACACAATTTAAAATTTCCCGAAACAAAAGTGTTTGGCACTGCTCAAGTTATGACAGAGCAGGACAAGGGAGTTTGTTATGAAATCAATAAGGCCTAACTCCTGACTCCCCCTCTCCTATTTTAGCAAAACCATGTTCTTAAGGGGTGATTACAAAAGGTAACGAGGCCAGGCCCACTCTGGACCCCTACAATTTGAGCTACTGCAGTGCATGTAGCAAGAACGAGCAGCAGCTGCTCTCAGAGGAAGGTGCAACTTTGATATTGTATAGTTCCAGTCTGGAGAAATCAGGAAGCAACAAGAATCCACCTATGTGTTAAGAGAGTTGCTGAGTAAAGACAGTCAGCTCTGCTTCATTTCCAAGGCACAATGTAATGCTTTAGTGAATGATGCTCTGTTTTGCCCCATGACTGATTCCCATTTCAACAGTCAATTACTGTAAGAATTAGTTTAAGGATATGTACAAAACCTAGTGTGTCGATCGTAACTTCTGATAAAAAGTTTCTCCTCACACTGAGAAAACTTAGTTGGCCGTGGCTTCTCAGAGCATGTGGCATGGATAATGAAAGACTTGCATGTAGTCACAAGTTACAATCTATACATGGGTTTCTTATTAATTTCAATTGCATGTAGGGTTACATATAGCATACAGTGCATATGCAGGAGAAAGCTTTCAGCTCAAGGGCCACATTCCCCATGGGTAAACATCTGGAGGCCACATGCCAGCAGAAGGGAATAAAGCAAAAGTAGGTGGGGGTGGAACCACATACACACCCTATTCACATCCCTTTCACACCCATCCTTCCACACAAATACACATTTGGGTGCATGCTTTTGTATAACATTCAGCTTTCCCTGTTCCAGATTCTCCAGATTCATCTTATCAGGCTACTGCTTCCTACAGTTCAGGGCGACAGGAGTTTTGCTCTCCTTCCCTTCCACCCTCTTCATCTCAGTCTCTGTGTCTCTCTGCCCTCCCCCATCTCTGTGTATTATCTCTCGCTTTTTCAAGCAGCCCTGTGCTATTTGTCTTTTATATCAAGCTGGGCTCTCTGTCCCCAGTGGGACAATGACAACAGAAAGCTTTCTTTCAATCAATCTAACAACAACAGGACAGTGTGTGAGAGAGAAATCTGAAGTCTGATTTTGCTTATGTTGGTTGTGACTGAGGGACATGAAACAACTCTGATTGGGATAATTATTGCTTTGGGATAAGTGGGAGGCAGCAGTAATGGACAAGTGCCTCTGAACATACCCAAGTGCTTTTGGAAGAAGTCGAGAGCTGCAGAAAACTCCCTGGAGCATCCAAGCACTTCTGAGAGCAGGCAAGAATGCCAGAGGAAGAATGGAAAGGCACAGACACTTCTTTGAATATACAAGTGCTTCCAAGCATGGAGGCTGTTGACTTACTTTGGCAGGTATTGGTATGAGGGTTTGGGCCTATGCTGATGAGGGTATAGGGCTTGAAGGAGAGGGTGCTGGATTAATAGAAAGGCTGTGAGTGCTGGATGTGGCCCCTGGGCCCCTGGTTCTCCATCCTTAATACAGTGCTTCTTTTGTTTAGTTCAGTAATCCTTTCAACTGTGCAAAGTAGACCCAAGTTATCATTCTCTGAGAGATCATGTTTTCTCTTAGGCCACCCACTGAGCTCTTCCCTGTTTTGTTACACAAACTGCAAGTACCTTCCATACAGAAACTGTGTGCAACAAGTGAAGGGGCCCTAATTAGTTCAGTTTCCCTGATGCTTTTGAACCTAGTTGCACAGAATGAGATGACACTATTCCTTATCCCTGTGTAGGAAGTGCAGCTCTCACATGGATGGGCAAAGAAACATGTATGTGAAGCCACATGCAATCCCTGAATGAATTTTGGCTCATTGGGAATGAAGCAGGTGAATGCAGTCCTTATCACTGGTTTGTTTTTGTTTTATTATGTATTATGTGTTCTCATTTTGTATTTTTGTATTGTGAACTGTCCTGCGATGTTCCAATGAAGGGTGGTATACAAATTCAATTAATAATAATAATAATAATATGGTACCACCACCTGCTAAAATGAGCATCCAGCTGCCCTGTAGGCACAGGTGGGCCGGGTTGAAGACGGATCCTACTGAGTGCCTTGGCTTCCTGACCAGTGCCCAATCTGTCTGACCACTGGCATCAGGCCTGGGCATCAGGCCTCACAGAGAGCAGCAGTACACTGACGGTGATCCCAGGACACACAGACATGGTTCCCAAACACACTGTTGTCCTACCCAATGCCGCCTCAAACTGTAACCCTCACCCTGCTTTGAAATATACACTCTCATCATGGCCCAGCCTCCTCAACTGCATCCTGATCAGGATTAATCTGCATCCTTGATATGGTCCCTACCTGGGCCACTGGATGCTGTGTGTGGAGGCACACAGTATATGTGATCTTTAGATGAGGAATGGTACATAAATTTACTAAGTAAATAAATAAATAAGGCACAGGTAAGCTGCCTTCTGGATTAGCCAGGTTACAGCAGGGGAAGCCACAATGCCCTGCAGGCTGGATTCAGATAATTTTAGTGGAAGGAGGCCTCCACAACCCACTCTTTGTGCACTTTGCCTGGGTTATGCCCAGTATTGTTGGCTTTTATCCATCTTGTGCCAATGTTAGTTTAGACTGCTGTCAGCTCACACTAAAAAAAATCAAAAAAATCAGTTCTAAGTATAAGGCCAGAATTAGACAAGAAGATATCTGATAATGTTCCTAGAGGACCTAATTTCCACCATAATGTTCCCCATCTCTGATTTTCTGCTGCCCTGCTTCTGAAAATGACACCTGAAGAGGTGCCAAATCAAGCAAGGAACATTTTGCAGTCTTTTTGCATGATTGAATGACTATGTGAGCAGCTATGACAAAGTACAGTCAGACTAACTCTCCAAAATGCACAAAAAGACAGCTTCTTTTTCTTCCTGTTGCTTTTCAGGAAAAGAGATTTTCTAGCCTAGAAACTGAGAAAGAGAAAGGAAAAATCTACCACTCATTTGCAAAACATAAATGGGATGAAACATCAACTTTTTTTTGTATTAAGCATTATCAGAATATTTCCAACCAGCATAACGCAGCTGGGCTAGAAAAGCTTAGCCAGGCAAATGTGTTCTAATCTGTGTCAATACCCTGTTAAACATGTAAATCTGCTGAAATGTTACATCCCTTCCAGAAACCTTTGAGTAGGCAAGAATGCCACCTGCTGGTTCATATATTTAACTATCACACATATATTCACCAAAGGGACAGGGATAATTCTAAAAGAGACTCCTATGGGACGCTGCCCAATTAAAAAGAATAATACTCTCTCCACCTTTCTTTTTCCTTAACTCACTTGAAAATGTTCTAAACAATGAGCTAAAAAGAGAAAATGTAATCAAGGGCGTGTAATGAGGCGAGTCATATAAGACTTTAACAGCTGCATCTAGGTGGAAAGACTGCCAAGGGATGATAGTTGTAATTTGAGATGTTCAATTTAGGACTAGATTAACCATTATGCTAAGTAGAGCAGGGACCCAGCCAAACTGGAGTCCTACCTATAGCGCAAGCTGAGAGTGGTTCTGTGCAGTAAAAAAGGCTACCCACTCTTATTTTTGGTTCCTGAAAAACTGCCTTGGCTCAAAGCAAAGAAAACAGTGGTTGACAGGGGATTTTCATTGGGTAAACAGCATTTGGAAAAAGAGTTAGCCTTCATTCCATAGTGCTGCTGTCCTAATCTGGAATGGGTTCCTTGCGGCTGTTATCTGCTGAAAAGAAGGCAGAACCAGTCACAGATCTCTAATGTTTCACCTAGTTTGGCCCTAAAAATTGTTTAAAATTAAGCAATATTCATTTCTCCCCCCAGACTTTTAAATTTATATATATTTTTAATACACACAGTCTCAAATATTAGGGGTAAATTTGAATCCTATTAGTAAAATGTAGGTAGCACAATCCAAATTTTAGCAAAAAGTCCCAAATCACTGCCATTAGAATTTGAAATTTCTCGGACTGGCAGAGATGACCGGCAGAATCCGTGACCAGGGGAAGGAGACAGTGGAAGAAGACTGGAAGAAATTTAAAATATATCTTAAAAATTGTTGTAAAATTGAGGAGTGTTAAGATGTTAAGGAACTAAGAAATAGAGAACTGCAGCTGTAATCAATAAGTTAAAGAAAAAAGAATTTAATGAAAGTGAACTTAATAATTAGTTAATTGGAGGAGTTGCTGAAGAAATGTGAAACAAGGATGCAGAAAAGGGGAGGTATGGGGAAGTCCGGGAAGCAAGGTGTATGAAAAAAAGGTTACGAAATTATACATGTTTATATGTTTGTATGTTTGTGTATTGTGTATTGTTTGTGTTTATTTTGTGTTTGGAAAACCAATGAAAATTTATTTTAAAAAAACCAAAAATAAATAAAAAAACAAAACAGAAGAATCCAATTAAATTAAATTAAAAAAAAAAAAGAATTTGAAATTTCTCACTCAAATTTGAGTTGGCCACTGAATTTACACTTCTATTAATGGAATCAGACCAGGATACAAAGAGTTGTATGGGAAAATTAAAATGTACCACTAGTGCATCAGGGCTTCGGAGACTTCAGGAGAGCAGATTTAATCCAAACTCCTGGTCAATAGCAATGGGTTTGATGAAGTGGCATAACCACCACCACTTGCACAGTCCTTCCACACAAACTGGCCAGGGCAGAAGGTTTTGCTGCAGCAGCTCTCAGGCTGAAACACCAAAGAGGTCTGGATTGGGTCCATTGAGATAGATAAACCACAAGCCCAGGGTCAGACATACAGTAATGCTAAGCAAACTATGGCACAGCTCCAGGTAGCGCAGCAGTAGGACTGGGGAAGGCGCTAAACAGTCACAATGTTTACTACAAGTATGCACATACTTGGCATGTTCATATTTAGCCATGGTTTGGCTTAGTGCTATGTGTGAACTGGGCCAGTGCAGTTCTAATTTTTCAGTGGCAGCCAGGAGAAAATGAGATGAGAGGGAAACCAAGGCAGCCATCAAGTCTCTGCTGCATGGTGTCTAATACCACAAGTGCAAAAAACTCTCATATAACCAACAAGCCTCCAAACTGGATGGCCATTGCAACAGCAAAAGAGCAGCACATGTTATTGTCTAATCTGACATAGAAAAACAATAAACGCTTACGTCGAAGAATGTTCCTGCATGTTCTAGGATTAGCTGGCTGGAGTCAGGCTTGTTTTTACAGTAGGTAACATACATCTGAAATTTATCTGCCTGTGAAAATAAACACCAAGAGGGGGGAAAGGCAAGATGATCAAGAGTTGTACTTGCACCATTTCCGATTCAACTTCCACAGAATAAATGAATACTTTATGCCTGTCCCCTCTAATTAGAAATGTACTGCAAATGAAAGGAACAATAAAAAGTATAACAGAGTATGTTAGAATAGTAGAAAAAAATCTACAAGAAAATCATGATTGCCTTTCCTATTAATTAAATGTGTGTCCTTTTGAAAATTTTATCTATAGTGCCCACTGACATATTTCAGTGTCTATTTAAAAGTCCTTTTTGCCACAGAAATATATCTTGCACAATATGTAAGATGAGGTGCTTAGAAATAATTAAATTAGGAACTGAGATTTTCTAAAAATCGAAATATAAATGTTGCTGTTACCTATGGTACTGTCCACCTTAAAAATTCTGGATCTGTCTTAAACTTGTACTTAGTACATAGAAGTTATTTGATCAAAACAAATCTATGTTAGCAGATGAACCCTGGAATTTCAATTTTAAGTTGCATTGTGTTATATAGATCTGATTGTACACTGGCAGAAGTCTGGTGCCCTGTGATGATTTGCAACCTTTTGCAAATAGCTGACTTACTAGATGGCTGAAATTAATGTTTGAGGAAAACTTCCTTATAAAGGTTCAATTACCATTCAACAAAGTACTGCCTGAAGAACTGCACAGTCCACTACTTTGGCCTACTTAAAGCTACTCAGTCCCTGTTACAAATGCTCAAGACATCCATTAATAAATGGTGCTATGTTAAGACTCATTACCCAGGTGACAAAGCAATGACCCACATCTTCAGGGAGTTGTTCATATTTTTCCAGTTCTTTCAGAAAAATGCTGAAAAAGTAAGAGAGAGGACTCTGGTTATAATATGCTTGCCCTACCTGCACCCCAACCAACCTGATACAAGATATTAGAGAGTGTACACCCTCCAATGCTAATTGGTTGAGTGACTCAGGGGAACATCACAACCACCTAGTAGAAGCAGGTGCTGGATGATGGAAAATGCTTTCATATATTTCACAGAAAAAAGGACCCTCCAAATTCATCTCAAATGTTGCTGAGCGTAAAATCTGTCAGTAGATTACAGAAGTGCAAACCTCAACCTCTGACATTTCAATAATCTTAAAGAAATTATTTCACTTCCCCTTGAAATTCCTACAAACTTGATTCAGTCCCCATAATCCCTGACCACTGTGTGTTCTGGGTGGGACTGATGGAAGTTGTGGAGACCAACAGCTCATGTGTTCCCTATCCTTGCTATAGATGTTTCAGCTGAGCAGGACCTTTCAAATTCACTTTGATTTTTTCTTTATGAGACATTCAGTAGCAACTCTTCTTTTAGTACAGAATTAGTCACATTTCATGGTAGGTGAATGCAAGTTACTGAGCTTTGGTTACCTTATCCACATAGCAGGCCACACATGCCTGGCTGTAATACTTAGCATAATTGCCATGCCAATTTTCTTATCACGTAGAGCGTGAGTTTCAAAGTTGGGACTAGATATCCTTGAACTGTCTTATTCCTGCTAGACATTGTAGGTCTGAGCAGATGAGTGGGGAGTGTCATCGCACAGAACATGTCTCCAGCTCGCATAAGCAGGTAGGCCAGGGCTGCCCAATATTTCTCATGTTAAAATCTATAGCACAGTTATTTTCCTCCTCCATAGCTCAGCACCTGTTCTTGCCGCACATTAGCCCACTCCTGCAAATTGTTTGACACTTCATAATCAATTATATATGAAGCTATGAACGAACATTGGGACTGAGCACTCCTATCCATGTCCCTCCTCTGCTCTGTCTCAGGGCACACTGGTTTCAGCATGAAGATCCTGGCTTGTTCTTGTTATGTCTGAACCAGGGAACTGTAGCTTACTGTTAAATATTAAGCCAGGGTCTATCCACCAGATCCAGTGTGTGATGCCGGAGGAGAGGAACACTTGGCCTCAATGCTGGTTCCTGGCTTTGCAAAACAGAGTAAGCTTCCAAAAGGGTACCTTTCTCAAAGTGTTGAGGAATACGTACTTATTATGAAAGTCATAAATCTCCTGGATGTTGCCAAAAATTATGTGCTCTTTGTTAAGAATCCCTGGGGGTATCTCCTCTACGCCACTTGTCATTTCCCAAAGATAGGTCTAGAAGACAACAGCAGTTCTTAAACACAGAGAAGTGCACAACAACAAAAAAGATCTTCTAGTTTTCTTGCCAAAGGCATAGAATATCTCAGAAAACATGGAGTTCTAAGCTAAAAGATAATAATAAAAACCAACACAACTAATAAACCAAAACAATGAATGTGGATGTTTAAGTGATAAGAAATATCTCAACAAATTTAGATAGATGCTTTGATGTTCAGACACACCTTTAGCTAGTTCAAAGGTTCAGTTACCATAACCTTTTCTTTCTTTCTTTTTTACTGTGCATAAAAACCTTTTTCTGAGGTCCAAACTGAACGTTAGCTTTTTGTCTTCACACACTAATTAATAATAATAATTACATTTCTTACACACGCTTCACCACAAACAATTGAAAAATACAACATTAAAAGCTGTCTATTACTTATGGTGTTGCATGTCTACAGCAAGAGTAAAGACTCTCCTCCCTGGAAGAGAGGGGAATGGTTGTGGGCGGGAGCCCGAGCTCCGCCCCTGGCTGGGGGCCTTAGCCCCCGCCCCTCCTCACCTGGCTGGCGCCCACGCCCACCGGAGGCAGCCAACCAGGTGTCTCCGGGGGGCGTGTTTAGCAGCTTAATGCTGCGGCTCCAGCTCCGCCTCCTCCTCAGTTGTCGTCGTCCTGCAGCGAGTCACCCACCCTCCACTCCCATTTAGCTCAGGGTCTATGTTTCTTGGCCTTGCTATGGACCTTAGGTTGGTCGCCCCGGTTGTCTGGGGGGCCTGGTAGGAATTTTTCCATTTGGCATTAGGCTTTTTGGTTTTTTCGCCTACCTTGTAGCAATCGTCACAACTTTTGTGGTATTGGTGGGTAGGTTAGGCATTGGATTCATGTGTGTCAGGGCCTAGGTGTGGCCATCGCCTATGCTATCTACCGTGGGTTATTCCGTTAAAGGAATCTGGCGGTCGTGTATTCCATCCGATGCCTGCTTGGCGGGAAGCCATGGTACGACCCTCGGTGACATCAGGGGTGAGCCTATAGTTGGATTAGCATCAACAGGCTCCACCTACTGTTGAATAAACCCACCTCCTATAGTCATCCAATGCCTAAGCCAATACCTTTTCACTGCTGTAATCAATAAAGTTGTGGCCTTTTCTTGCCCATTAACCTTATATCACGTGTCCTTGTGTGTTTATTTCACATAGCGGGGGTCGGGCCCTCGATCCACAATATATCAGTTTTGAACACATACATTGCACCCACCTTCCATCCTACCTGTAGAAAATATCAAAGGCTTTTGCATTTTCAGATTGTTGAAACACAAACATTATGAACCAGCCTGCACAGTACAGCAAACCTCCACACAGGTCTCATCTACTATTACATCCAGGCAAGTTTATAATCCTTGAAAACCCTGCTGTAACTGAAGACCGCAACACCACATCATGGTGGTAGTTATTATGACCACCAGCCATCAGAAACAGTACAGAGCCTTTATAAACATACCTCTAAACATTCATGTAAATCCCTGACATAGGCCTTCTCAGTCTGAAGCAGTTCAGCCATGATGAATCTAGGAGCAGAAATGCATGGGAGTAAATCTGTATATTAAACACAAACTCTCTCTTTGTTATATTCTTCGTAAGAAAGAAAGAAAAATACTTTCAATGTTACGTAGACCAATGCTATGGATATTTGTTGAAAGTAAGTGTACAGAATATTGTAGTCGTTATCTTTCTGGGCTGCCTAAATTACACATTGTAAATGAAAGAATAAAATATTGTTTATGTGACCATCTCACCACGTATTATAACATTTCAAGGTTATGGGTTCAAGCCCCACGTTGGACAAAAGATTCCTGCATTGCAGGGGGTTGGACTAGATGAGCCTTGTGGTCCCTTCCAACTCAACAATTCTATCATTTCCAAATTAGAAAAGCATTCATGTTAAGGGATGGAGGGATTACAAACTGGAAGTGTAGGGACTGCTTCATGCATGCAATAAGCAAGTGTGAACACTATTCTGCTTTTCCAGTTTTTTGTAATGTATGAAAAGAGAACTTAAGTATCTCCTCTATGATGTAGCAATCAGCCTGGGACTAGTGATATCCAGTCAAATCCACGCTAAGCCACAAAGCACACTGGGTGACATTGTGTCAGGGAACTGACATTGGATTGGGCCAGACACTATCTCAGTTTAAGTTATCTCACAGAATTGCTGCAGAGATAAAACAGGGGAAAGGAAATTGTGTATACTGTCTTGAGCTCTTTGGAGGAAAAGTGAGATATACTTTATGTTTCCTTGTATAAGACATCCCTATGTCTAAGACACCACCTACATTTGGGGACCCCAAATTTAAAATGGGCATATGCACTATCTGTGTATAAGATGCCCCCAGATTTTTAACCTTATTTTAAAGTCTTATACACATAAAAGTACGGTAAATGTTAATAAGTAAGTAAATAAAATGCAATTCCTCAAGCCATTTCTCCCTTCCCATCAGTTTACATTGGTTCCTAGTCTCTAGCATATTTGTATTTTCTCCCTGGATTATGGAAATACATTTAGAATGTATCATATCATGTTTGAAGATTTATGTATTGTAGCCATCTCTGCATGTCTATGTAATTTGCATAATACTTGCATAATTCAATAAATTTCTAGAATCAAGTATAAATGTTGTTAATCTTGTTGTGGTTATATAAATATGAGTTTCTATCTTGATAAATAAGAATAAATTAGCATTTAGTTACACACACATAGAAAGAAAAAACAATTACGTTTTTAATTTATCAGGCATGGACTTATCCCACATATCTTACTTCTCTCCAAACTCTGGTCTTTTGTTTGCATAACATTCCTGCGAGGATATCTCACCTGCCTCACAAATAGGTGGGCTTAGTGAATTGTTCACATGGAACTGCTGCTGTTTGTCATTCATGTCCTATGTTTTGTGAGGTGCCCATTTCCCACCACTTACTCTTTCTTTCTGGCTGACTTCCTTTTTTCTTCATTAGCTTCGTGATTGGCATCACGCAGCTTCACTTCGCGATCTGACAGACTTGCTGGAATGATGTCTAATTCCAGGTCCTTGTTATCCTGAAAAAGAGTAGTGTCTTGGATTTAAAACACATTTCTATGCTTTGTAAAAGTAAGCATATCTACAAAGTGAAAGAAAAGGCTATAGGGCTGGAAGAAAAGAAAAGAAAAGAAAAAGAAAAAGAAAAAGAAAAAGAAAAAGAAAAAGAAAAAGAAAAAGAAAAAGAAAAAGAAAAAGAAAAAGAAAACAAACAAACAACTGCACATACAGACCTACTAACGACTGGCTAAATGCATCACATATTTGGCAGGTGGTAGGAGGGTTTCAGTCCTTTCCCCCAACCAACTTGCTAGGCTTCATCAGTACCCCTTCCTCTCACTTGACTTCAGGAAATGGATGGCTTTCCTCATGGGAATCCTGGGACACATCAGTGGTGGCAGCAAGCAGACACATTTTGTCTGCTCTGCAATATTGCCTCTGAGGGTTGTACTCTACTTTCCCCAAATGACAGCATTTGCTCAAATTTCATAAATGATATTTACTTGGTACATCTTTATTGCATTATTCATTCAAATGAACCATATCTGTACAAAAACATTGGCTTTGACCCCTGTGTGAGTAGAAGCACACTTCTGCTTGCACTACGTAAGTGCCCAATTTTGCCAATCCTCCCTTTCTGCTGCAGTCAGCTTCACGGCATCCCATCCTATTCCAGAAGGCCTCCCAATCTTCAGGAGCAGATTTTAGGAGCCAAAATGGCCATAGCAAGAAGGTGAAGGTGACTGTCAGAGGTACTCACATATGGAAATTAGGATCCAATCCCTCTTTCTCACTTGAATGGTTTTGAAGTGAATTTTTGAGGCAATAATTAAAAGTTAACACTGCCCTGGCTTATACATGGTAACCTAAATCAGCTCTTCACATGTCCTGCTGGCTGTAACAGAATGGGCTGCAAAACAATAGATTTACCCAGAATAGCATCCATTTAGCTCTGTGGGACTCAAGTCAAACATGTACATACACAAGGCCAGTGCCATAAACATGAAAAGCCATGTAACAGGCCATGTGCAGCCCAGTAAAGTCTGCAGCTTTTCACAAGTAGCAGCAGCTAAGAATTAATTACAGATTATTAATTGATTTGTCCTGCTATTTTGAATGAATTACCATTTTGTCTTATGTTGACTGATCATCATCTACATGAATTTATACCTGGAAGTCTACTTGATTACTCCTTATAGCAACTTCCTTGGCACCCAACCAATCATTCCCCTGCCATCTTGTCTAGCCTTTGTATCACAAAGGAACAAATTTGTGTCACAAAATCCACACCGAGTGTGCTCTGTGTTATACCACTGCAAGGTAAGGCTGGCTATGTAATGCATGGAAGCATTTTCACATAAGAGAGTTCTAATTCCTCTAAGGTTTCTTCATTTGTTTAAAGTATGTCAGCAAAACATGTGACTTACAGTACCTCTGTATTGATTCCAAGAGCTTTTTCCAAAGAGTAGCGGTATTTCCCCATCCTCAGTGAAAAGTCCCGATAGCGTTTGTCGACGGTGGTAACCCATTTCCTAATTTCAGTGGCATGAGTATGCCCTTTCTCTACAAAGCTATCAGCCAGCTGAATGAGAAGCTTCACTTTCTCCTTGGTTTGCTGCCCAAAAGAGTTTTCCTTGGTTATCATATCTTCCATGGACATTTTGTTCAATTTTCATTCACATAATAACCATATGGACCTCGTATTCTTCACAAGCATCACTAACACAAAATGTTCCTGAGATCTTTGGAGACATAGTGTAGGTGGAGTGCAATCTTTTCATTTATTATCTAAAATGGTTCTGAATTTCCCACTGCCACTCACTACTACTCAATGGAACTTAGTTGTTACAGTTTGCAATACTTTGCAGAATTGTTTAGTTCTGAAGCAATCTTTTGAAAGTGGCAATGTGAGCAGAGAGTGATAGCACCATTCTGCTTATGGGTGTTAATTTTGACCTGCTTGGTCAGAATTTTTCTTCAAATGGACACTGCGGCAGACAGGAATGGAACCTGTCAGGAAGAGATGAGCATGGGGATGTGGGTACAAAGTGATAGCAGGGGGACTGCAGAGCTTGATGTCCCCAAACAGGCAGATATTGGAATTTAGAAAACAAGGGCAGAATATTCTGAGGTCATTCTGAAATCATTCTGAAATAATTAATATCATTGGTCAGTATACAAGAGAACTCTGAAACTAGCTCCATTAGCAAAAGGGGGCTTTAGAGTTGTTTTGCTCAAGAAATTGTTCTCCATGCCACATCACAAGCTCCTTTTGGATTTGAAGTGAGTTCTAAAAGACGTATGTGATAATGCATGGAGTGAGCATCCAAAGGAAAACAGGCCCCTTCTGTGAGCCTGTGAGTCTGCAATCCTATATACACTCAATGGGACTCGACACAGATAAGATTGCATTATTAGTATTTTTATTTTTATTTTTGGATCTCAGCCATATAGTTCAAAATGGGGGGAGGTGCATTTATAACATTCAGAGCTATTAAATATATCATGTTATACATTTATTTAGTAATAAATGATGCATGTAGATAAGTAATAGTGTAACTGAGACTAAATCCTGTGAGTTGTATACATTTACTACATTTCCTTAACTGAAACTACCAAAGGAAGCTCATGAAATTATAAAATCAATAGTAGGGTTTACCTTGGCAGGTACTTTGAATTCTCCATATTCTTTCAGAAGTTCCTGAGTTTCTTCTGCTGATTCCCCAGTAGAGTTGTGAGTAGAAAGATAATACTCTCCTGTTTCCTGAATCCAGTCTAAGGCCTACAAATGGGAGGGTGGGGGACCAAATGAACAAAAACAAGGTGACTTGCTTTCACCCATGCAACCAGTTCTCATTGGCATATTTCAAAATTAATTATTCAAGTTCTATTGCAGTTGAAGAGCACCACTAGCCCTCAGAAAAGAAGAAGCCTGACAGGCAGGCCTCAAATTCAAGTCTAACAACACTTTACACAGTAAACAAGCAAGCAAAATGTAAAACAGTATGGACTGATTGTCCACTGCCTTGAATTTTATGTGATCACAGACACTTACACATGATATATTTTTCCTTGCATCTGGCAAAACAGACTTGAGCTCATAATAGCTGAAGAGGTAATACATTTGTTAGTCTTTAAGGTGCTATGAGACTCCTTGCTTGGTCTTGACCGTAGTAGTGTTGCAAGACTTCAGACCAGAGATCACTGCAGTGCAGACGCAGTGTGAGAGGTTGCCAATGTTAGGCTTCTCGTCACATCCGCTTCCCCACCACCACCCCAAATATAGGCTCACCCTTCTTCTCCATCTACTGAAACAAGGAGAACTTCTGTTTTGCCCTACAACAGATGAGGTCTGAGACCAACTGCTAGGAGACCCAGGAAAGAAACAGGTGGGAGCAGTTAACAATTTCTCCCACAGCATTCAGCATGTACAAGGCAACATGTTTATTTCTGGTTTGCAGTCTGGCAGCCTTATTCAGGCCAATGGCCTATCCAGCTCACACTGTCAGTTTCAACTAGTGTCAGGTTTGAAACTAACTTTCCAGGGTCATTACCAGTGTTGGCTGATGCAAAGGATTGAACATGGCAGCTCATAACAAAAAGTTTTCCAATCTTGATTGATGCAAAGGATTGAACATGGGGTCTCATAATGCAAAGTCTGCAGTCCCTGAGATACAACCCTCCCCACAACTAATCTATTACACAGTCCATTATTACCTGTCAGCCGTAACAAGAGAACAAGAGGGGAAAGCAGAGTTTTATTAAGCTACCTGCTTAGCACTACGCTCAAAGACCACATACTGCTGGCACTGATCTAATCGCCGTTTCTTCAAGGTCCAGAAGTGAAGAACTCTGTTCTCTCTCTGCAGCAGCTCACTCAGAATGGCTGCGGAGAAAAGGAGGATGGTCGTTACTCTCAGTGGCTCAGTGAGTACATGCAGACGCAAGTCAATGCAAATTCAACTGGCTACTCCATCACAATGATATATAAGCTCCCTAGTATGAAGCACTTCAGAGTTAACTGAAAAAAAACAAAATAGCAGAGAGTGGGCAGTCCTTAACACAAGGGGCTCACTAAGGGTGTGTGGACAAAAATCAACAGAAAAAAATATTATATTCCCAACACATAGATACAGGTACAGTGCAGAGCACTTCAGACCACACTGTTCAAAGCCCAAGCAACGGGAGTGGGGGAACAATTACAAGTCATGCAGCTGACAACAGTTTAGATACCCAGTCATTAAATGTATCCTCGTAAATGCAGAAGGAACAAGCACCATGCCTTGGCACCAATAGTGGCCAGACTCACAAATGTCTACCTTGTACTTCCCACACTCACCTGCTCACTTATACAACATTTATTTGGAGCACAGTCAGTGATGTCTTAGGCCTGGGGTGGACATACTATACTAAAACAAAAGGTATTTGACGATTCTGCCATACAGTTCTATTCCAGAGAGGCATCTTTATTCTTTGTTCAATGGTATTACAATTTTAGGTCACCAAAGCCTCCCCTAAAATCAGTCCTATGACTTTTTCAGAATGCTCAGCTCACATTATTGATTTCTTAGAACTGAAATCTGAAAGGTGGGCTGCAAGAGGTTCTTGTGGTACACATCCTTGAGCTGTCTCTAGACTCACAAATGAAACATTCTAACGGGATTCTTTTGAGGTACAAGCAAGGACCAGTCCAGGACATTTTGGTGGCTAAGGGGGCAAATTCAACTCATATTCTGGTTCACTAATTAATAGGGGGGATTACCAACAGATTCTTCTGTGCAAGCTTCAGTTAAATAAAATTCTATGGGGCGAGTGAAAGAGAATGTCCCAGCTTTTTCTGTCTGTCACAGCCAAGCTTACTAATTAAGGCAACTAATGTATATCCCCTACAATGGTCTATTGATATTGGTTTTTTGTTTTAATCCTGAATCACAGAATCATAAGAGTTGGAAGGGACCCTAGGGTCATTTAGTCCAACCTTACGCAATGCAGGAATCTCAACTTGCAGTCCCCATTTGAAACCATACTGGACCCTGCTTAGTTTTGTAAATGTGCTAGTATTTTTACTTTTATGATGTTATTGGTTGTTTTTATGTTTTTATATTGTTGTAAACTGCTGTGTTATATTTTCATGTTACAGTGGTATAGAAATATATTTATAAAAATAATAAGAGGACCTATATCCACTGCGTAAAGTAGCCTACTCTCCTTGCTTGTCTCCTCATAGGAAATATCTTATGTCTTAAAATGACAATGTGAGAGGCTGCCTAAAGTTTATGTCTATTGCTTAACATGTATAAACAGTTCCATATATTTTAGTAAGCCTTCTCCCTAAAACTGTATCTTAAGAACCCATCTTAATTGTGTGTGCGTTTTTTTTAAAAAAAGATACTCATGTATACGAGTGCAGACTCTTTTTTTGAGTTCTTGAGCAATATTAACCAAAGAAATATATATTTTTAAAGTACAGATTTTATGTTAGGCTGCAGCATTTTCAACCCCTTTAGTGATAGCAACTGTATGGCGCACTCAGTATCAAACTACATAATTATTATTGCCCTACACTGTCATTGATCTGTTCTTTTCTACAGCTCTAAAAGTAATCCAATCAGAGATGAAAAATGGCTTAGTTCTGCAGATTTACTTTAGTTCATTTTTATCAGCTCCTCACAGAATCAAGGAACAGATTAGCAACTGGTGGATTACAGCTACAAAAGAAAGCAGGGGATGCATCACCCCAGACTCCTCCAAGAATGTATCATCACCACAGCAGCCCATGTTCATTTGAACATATGAAAGAGGCAAGCATAAGAAGGTCATTCTATTGGTCACTGTGGCTAAATAGCTAAGAAAGAGAAGCAGACATTGAACTCTGAGAAAAGTGATCACGTTGTGAATTTCAATTTTGGCTTGTCTTGGAAGAAGAAGGGTGGTATGGAAGCCTGATTAATACTCTGCAATAGCTCCAAATGCCAAAAAACAAACAAACCCAGTATAATAACCTGTTCTGTCCTTGAATGTAGTATGAGACAGATACTTTCTGCCCACTGTTTCCTGAAGTGGAAGGAGTTAAGGGATTGTCCTTTCAGCAGAAGGAAATACTATTTACTGCAGCTCTTTGTAGCTAAACTAATGAACTGCCCACATTTTCAGACTTTCTCCCCCCCCCACCGCCCCAAATTAGATTAGTAATTAATTGATTTCAGATTCCATAACTAAGCTCTGAATCAGATGGGGTGGTTTCTCTTTTACACCTGTAGGCAGTCTGGAAATAAGAAGGGATCTGTATATGTACAGTAACCTTCCTACAAATCCATCACTGTCCAATCCAATCATAGCTTGACCCTGCTATGATTTTAGTACCCACACCCTGACACATTTTGAAGTGGAGGCTTAAAGTATGGATTGATATGAAAGAAGCACGTGATAGGTGTAATAGAGAAAGGATCTTAATGACTACTACTTTTAAAAATACTCTAAACATACTAATAGGAGAAGTATTGCCTATAGGTTTAATGGAATTTCTATTGTTCTAATGACAGATGATGGCACACTGGTAAATTTATATGCAAAACACTTCACTAGATCCACTCCTAAGTTTTCTGAGCCAGCACAGAAATGAAAAAGACGCTGTCATTTTCATACCATCTGCTTGTATTCTAATCTTATTCTGTCCAGCAGAAAAGGTGCACCTGTAATTATTATGTGGCAAATTTAATCCGGTGTAAGGAAGCATCAGTGGTGAGCACAAGTGTCATCCATGGGTGTGTGGTACATTTCTAAAGCCAAGCTGCCATTCCATTAATGCATCTCCCCAACAAACACACTGACCTTTGACTTGTTGCTCAGGTCCCCTCGTATGGCCCACTCCCCCTGGCATGCTGACGTTGTTTCGGTGAATGTACTTGAGAAACACTTCTGCATTCCTTCGTGCTAGTGTGCAGGCCTGTGGGCAGTAAACAACACCCCCCCACCCCCAAGCACAACAGTTACCCTTTTGACAAGTGAATCAGAAGAAGAAAACACAGAGGAACCACTGAACTGTGACATGAACTTCTTTTCTCATTTGACCTCTGAAGGATGTTGACGTGCATGAGAAAACACTGAGAAACTCAGACTGCAGTCACACACATCCATCATCTTGGGAATGGGTATGATATGAGAGAAAATGCTATGTGGAAAAAATTGGCTGATTCCAGTTGAAAAGCAAAAGCATAACACCGCTAGTGGGAGATTGTACATCTTGATCTTTATTCCAGAAGGTGACAGTTGATTTATTCTGGAATGCAGTCTTTCAAAAACATACCATTACATTATCTGTATGCAACTTTGAAAAGCAAAGGTGTTAAGAATTATTTAACATTTATATACAAGCTATGGCTTGCTGAGGGGAAGATCTAGGGATACATGGAAGAAAGGTCAGTCACTTCTTGCCATTGCATTCCTGGAACAGAATATACAGCGGCCAGGAACTTATCCTTATCCTTGCCATATCCTAGTCAGAACAATTGTTAATATGCCACAGTACCATGTATCCCAGAGACAGCCAATGCAGTGTCTTCCAGATGACAGTGGACACTCCCAACAGCCCCAGCCAGCATGGCCAGCAATCAGAGATGGTGTGAGTTCTAATTCAGCAACATCTGGAGGGTACCACATTGTCTGTTCCTCTGGTCAATCCTGCCTGGAATCAGTTCTCATAAGTCAAAAGGTAGTGATCTTTTCCAGCTCTGAATTCCTTTTAACTAGCAGTTCCTGGAATTGAATCGTACTACTGTCAGCATGTAAATCATGTGCTTGACTACTGAGTGTTGAACTTTTTCTCCAACTGCAGCTACTTTGAGCCAGATAAATGAGATCTGGGAGAAAGGGAAACAATAAGGGCAGGAAGAAAAGATGCACCTTGAGTTCTTTACCCTTTCAATGTGAATGCTGCTTAGAAGACCCTGGGCAGAAGAAAACAGTTGTTCCTGCCCTCACATCTACCCAGAAACAAAACCAACTACTGATATCTGCTCAAAGCCTAATTCTCTCATGCTTGGTTAGTAGGCCTCTACTCCTTTTTAATGCCAAAGAGCAATGAAACATTACAAACCCTTGTCTCTCCATCTGCTAATTGTACCTGGCCTTTTGCAACACTAAAGAGTTGGCTCAAATGAGGCACTGGAATCCAATGCACAAGGCACTGCCCACATGAGCAGGCTATTCATGTGAAGGATGTAACATTAGCACAGCAGATTAATATGAGCTCTTCTGTTCCCTTCCATGAATTGAAAAAAAATCACAAGTTGTAATTCTTTCAGGCCATGAAAGGGAAGGAGCAAGCTGATTGGTCCCACATTACACTGCCTGTGGAAGCAGCCACTTGTATGGGCAGAATATCCATTTTTGTAGTATTGGAACTGACTGTCAAAATGAGGATTGGGTGGGGGGAGGAATTGGGAAATCTCTATTCTGGAGAAAGATTGTGCAAGTTGTCCAGTCATAAAACATTTAGAGAAAAGCTACACTATGACTGCATGCAAAAACTGTGTTGTTCTTATGATTCCCATAAAATTATATTCAGGTATGTTCTATATGGAAATGACAGTGCACAGAACATCATCTGCATGCTCTGCTGACAGGTTTCCACCACAGCTATTTTCAGTTACCAAAAAATAAAAAACAACTACAGAAAAGAGGAAGACTACAACAAACCTTGAGAAAGGCTTCTTTTTGTTCCAGATGTTTGCTGATTAAGGGGATGACATGGTCTATTTCAGATGCTGGTCCAAGCTTATCCCGACCTCCACACCAGTCTTCATCTCTTCGATATTCCTGTTCCAAACTCTCTAGCACACTGCAAACCTGAGGCATAAGTCAGGACACAGTACTTCAGCTATAAAAGCTACATCCAGAAACATAGAAAAACTACTACAAGTCCATTAACCTAGAAAGCTAACAAAAGACAAGAAAAGGAGAGATTCACAGACAAATGTTATATGGGCTTCCTAACTCAGAACATATTAGTTTGGGAAATATTAATTGACCTTTTAAAGAGAAAATTCCAACCTAATTTGGCCCTGTGGCTGATGAAGCCTATTTCCTAACGTGGATTTTTAATGATGCAGAACTTTAGGATTCCAAGTTGTGCTAAAACTACAGAAGAAAAATAATATACTGATTTGTAGGTTTGAGACTCACCTGGTCTCATGAAATGGTCTCTTTGTCTGCCCAGCTGACAATGGGGCAACAAGTCAGCATTTGTCAGCTATGGTGCTGAGCTAGCCAGTTCTCTTATTTGTGAGTCAAGGGCATCAAATTTAGGACTGATGCCTTGGAAATGGCTTGAGATGTATTTTAATTGTTTAGGTTACTGTGCTCAAACCATGCAGGAAAATCCTGGGTTGCAGGTAGTTAAGTTATTCATACAGAAAATTCATGTATCGGTAATACAGTCTGAATTGATGTTGACCACACTCACTGTCAATGCACTTTCATATAGTACATTGAGCAACAATATGCATCCATTGTGGAGAAGGCTGAGCCAAAAGCTTAAAATTTGTTTTGGCTCAAAACTTTGGAGGTTTGGAGAAGATCCCAAATCTTGGGATTTGTAGTTAATGAATCTCAATCTAGGACTATGTAAGATTCAGACAGCATAAATGAATATGTGGGCAATATAAAGATGTGGCTAGCTCAGAGATTTGAATTCACAGCTGCCCTAAATAAAATGTTATGACAATGAATACTATGGGATTTTTTAAATAGTTACAAGTATCACTGCACATCATTCGGCTCACCTGCTCTGAGGTTTTATAAAAAGCGACAGATGCATTAACCAGCTTCAGCCTGTCTTCCATCTTCAACATTAGTTGCTGCCAGTGCAGTGCCACCTTTTCTGCGCATTCCCTTATGGCATCAGCATCGTAGTGCCCAGCCTGCAGCAATACCTCCGCCTTCTGCTGCACCTGGAGGGCACTCTGGTGCGTCTTCTGCAAGGAAGTGGCATGAAAGAGGGACTGTGTATGAGGGGAGGAAAGAGAGATTTGTACAGATGTGCCAGACATATGGTAAAAAGAGGTGAAGTGAAGCGTGAGAATGAAAATGCGAGAGAATGAAACATTTTTAGTGTTTTCCACAACCAACAGATTCTCATCACTAAACATTTTGCAGATTCATACGGGCATATTTATTTTTATTCCTGATTTATTATCAATATTTATACCCCGTTCTTCTATGAAATATTCAAGACACCGCATTATTAATAATTTCCACTACACTTCTAACGCAATCACTGCTTTAAAATCTTTGTTATTTTCCCTCCTCACAACCCTGGAACGTACAACACTATTAGGACCATTTTAAGAAAGATAATTTGGGAAGTATGGCCACAATACAGGTTTTGTTCACTGCAATAAATCAAGCCTTTTAAACCCCTAAACTTGAAAATTAGTTCAAAAGTTTCTTCTAACACCATGTTGAATTGCATAGTGCATAAAAAGCAGTAACCCCCCACCCCATATTTACATACACATTCTGAAAATTCCCAGATACCATTAGTTGGGGGTGGCTGCCCAGATGATAATGAGAATGCTTGTTTTTAAAAAAGATGTCAAAGAATTTGCAATGGAAACCCCATCAACAGTTAGACCTTCCCTGCCTCACTGTATAGTTTTCTGGATACTAGTTACATGCTGAGATTTTAAGGACCATCAATATTTAATCTGGTATTCCCATATCTGAACAAAATTCTTTTCTCCCATTGGCAGCGTGAGAACCTATGTCTCACTGTGGGCCCCTTAGTTAATACCAAGTACAAGCATCTCTGAAGTGTGGAAAGCTGTGCTAACAGGAAATGTGTATTCTGCTCCACAGAGGTGCCTGGTTAAGGCTGCCAAGATGCAGCTGAATGGTAACCTCCTCCACTGGATGATAAAAGGCTTCCCTTCCCTTTGGGGTTTGCCAATATGGCAGGATAATGTAAAGACTTGTCAGATGCTCATTAAGAGATGATTAATACCTCTACAGAAAAGTGACTTATTTATTCCTGCTATGGTATGTTCCAAGAACATCAACAATGGTCATATACCAAGACAATGCTAATTTATTTCAGATGAATCAGAAGAGGGGGGAATACAATTTCCTGGTTTGTTTGTTTTTAATTTATGGTATTTTCACATATGACAATAAAAGTCGCTTTGGGCCCACCCCTGTTGAGCTATTTGTGTGCATATGTGACTGCTACTAATGTGAGAAAAAACAGACTTTAAAAAACGCACCCTGGATGACTATTCTAGCCCATGAAGGCTTTAACTTGACATCGCATTTTGCAGATGGGAATTAAAAAAAGAACCACCACCATGGTGCCATGTTATTACAACCACTAAAGTGAACAGTCACTTCTAGTACATCTGACTCCATCCATAAGCAAATACTGGAGTGGAAAACTACAAACCTCTAAGTAACAAGGGTTACCTAATGCAGAGAAATAGCTATCTCTTGGCCTTGCCTACATTACAGGGTTACTATGAGGATAAATGGAGGAGCATGGAGAACTATGTATGCTGCCTTGAATTCCTTAAAAGAAAGGCAGGATATAAACATAATAAATAAATGGCAAATGTTTCCAAGTGACTAATACAGCAGGGTACATACTGCTCTCCTGCTTTTGACTATCTGTCCCAGTCTTCAAGCCAAGGGTGAGGAACCTGTGGACCTTCAGTGTTGCTGAACTAAATAATGACACAATTTATGCTCACTGCATACTTCTTTGGCCCTCACATATTCATTCCAGTCAGTGCCTATTTAACCTCTGAACTTTTGTTCTGCTGCAACAAATCAGACTGATGCTTTGACAGGCCTGTGTATGTGCGTAAATGCGCCCTTAACCTAATTCCTCTCCAACCAACAAAACAAGCCTGTAAGAGGATAAGAGGTTTCTATCAGTAGTATTGCCTATCAAAACCTATAAACGCTCAATGCAGAGGTAGATAGAGGTGCTATTCAAGTTTTGTAAAGGCTTAAAAGAAATCCAATGCTCCAATCTTTAAGTTCACTTCCATGAGTATTTGCCTTTTGGGGGGTTAGTTTATATTTTTGCTGAACCATTTGCAAGGAATTACAAAGGTGGTATGGGAAATGAGCAGCTTCTTCATGTATTGTGATTTTTGTCAAGTAACAGGAAAGCTTAGCTATTGATAGTAAATTATCTGTTACAATTGTAGTCTCCTCCCACTGTTAAATAGCATCTTGTTTTTGCACTTTCATCACCATTAAATTTCTGCCCAAGGAGGTGGCCTCATCTTTGCGGAAAGGGAAATCCGAACGTGCCTATTATGGTTACCTCTATGGCCAGCTGGAACTGCTCGTGCTCTCTCTGGAGCTGCTCAGCTTCTGACAGTGAACTTGCATTGACAAGGCTGGCATTGAGCATTGATTCTCCATTCCGGATCCAGCCAAGGACCTGCCAGAAAAGAAAGAAAGAAAAGACACCTTGATTGATAACCTCTGATTAGCATAGTTAAGCCAAAGGGCTCTGTACCTCAGATGTGTTCTTCACCATTATGCTTCACACAGCATGTTCTAAGTTACTTGAGTTGAAAGACAGTCTGAAACCAAATCAGAAGATTGGAGTCCTAAGCACACCCAGTCCAACGAGGACAATGGCCACAAGCCATTTATTGACAAGCATGTATTTACAGTAGCTCCTGTACAGTAGCTCAACACACACACACACACACACACACACACTTTAGACAACTAATTCATGTATTCTTTCACTAAAAATATTATTTTTGCTTATGAAAACTCAATATTTGTGCATATGTAGCATATACAGTTTACCTACGAACAATTTTTCTCCCCTGAGATGGGCCAAATCTCACCAAAAGTACCTGCCCTGAGTTGGTTTTGGCATACTATTTTAATATTTTAAAGAAATTTTCCTGCTCTACTTTCTCTGCTATTCACGAAGTCTTAAACTGTTACTTTAAAATATGTAAGGTCCTATTTGGCTTTTAGAAAATGTTACTATATGGATGAAGGAACCATGAGAATTGAAAATCAATAAACTGGTATCTTTTATTTGCTTCTTTGATGCCAGCTGTTTAGCATTTTGGCACTACATCTTAAATGTACATCTTTGTACCTCTGTGGCCTAGAAACTTACTTTATGATTTTAATTGAAAATGAGATTCTTCAGATTTTAATAAGAGCCCGTGGGTCACATAATAGCTTCAGGCACCACACGTGGCTCACTTGCCAGATGTCATCCATTGCTTAATGGGTAAGAATGCAACTTAATTCTGAACGCAAGTTCCCATGCTGAATATTTACACTTCTAGATATATTTTCCCAGTAACTTGCTAGAACAGTTATTACAATAGTTGGAAACAGTGCTGCAAAATGCTGAGTTTCTTTTTCTTTTGTCTATATAGAAACAGATTCATCCGTTTCACAAATAGAAACAGCCTAGCTTTATTTCATGATCAAAAGTGTTTATTAGCTACATGAAATCCAATGGCTTCTGTTCAATATTCTCACTAGCAGCCCTACTGCAATCCCCTTTCCAGCTGAGACTCATGAAACTACCCCCCCAGGACATCATATATTGCTCTCATCACCACAATTTACCATCCTTAAAGAAATCAGTTGTCATTAGAAACGAAAAGAAGTAACTAGTCCATATGTTTCAATTACACCTGTTTGCATGGAGGCGCTGACTGCAGATTCTGCAAGTGGGATCTTCAAGAACTCCATCACCACCCCTACCCCGCCATCCAGTTTAATGCCAAATTTGATTTAATTGGTATCACATTCCACAAAAAGCAACAAAAAAACCCCAAAAGCTATTAGGGTACACTAGGCCTCACAATATTAACTTAAATTCCTCTGTAAAGAAAGCCCTGTAAAAAAAATAAGAGAGATGCATAGGTGAAAAACTAGGCTCACAGAAAAAACAAGGAGAAAACAAATCTGAAAACCACCAAAATGCCAGGGTCCAATGTAATGGGTCCAATGTATCCCAATAGCTAACATTTAATTTACCCCTACAAAAAGATACCTCAAGAAATTTCCACCACCTCAAAAATATCTATGATAAATTAGAAACAACTCTTGAAAATTTGCATTATGAAATCGTTTAAAACTTCTATGTAAAGATAAATCCAGCTTGGGATAGAATTTAACCCTAAGGACAGAATCTGTTTTTGAGGTCCAACTGACCTGTGCAGCACTTTGTAGTGGGTTTGCTTTGTACATACAGGATGGAATGGAATTGGGGGTGAGGTATGTTTTCTTAAAAAATGAAAGGTTGGGGAGAGATATAACACCAGAGAACAACTGATTTCAAATTGTTGAGGAATACATGGAGTATGAAATGATTCAAGTTAGCTAAAAAGTTTTATAAGTATTTCAAACAGCTTCTGAGTTCCACAGTAACTCCATTAGGTTGGAGTTTTCTTTGTTTTGTTTTTTTGGTGGGGGGGCATTAATGTAGCTTCTCTCTATCTCACCACCAGCACTGCTATTGCAGTTTTGTTACTATGTGAGCCTACGGTTAAGCACAACTAATCAATACCAAGAATATGAAACTCTGTGTCTAATTGCCAGCTACTTGGTGATCAATATCTTTTCTGCATCACCAGCTTCTAACTGTCTGGCTTGTTACTGACTTAAACAGACAAGAAGTGTAAATAACACAGTGAACAGGATTACAATATAAATTATCCCAGATCACCTTCAGTCACCAAAATCAGGGCCAGCTCTGAGAATCAATCTGAAGTCACTAAATGCAGTCTGGGATAAGTTTATAACCCATGGCTTACGGAATAAAGGCCACCAGTGCCAGATCATCTGCCTACAGTATTAATTGATTTGTTTACACTGATAACCTTTTTTAAAAATGTCTTTTTACATAGCCCTTAAACTGATCCCTACAAGCAGATGGTCTGGATTAGTGAGAGTCTAGAATAAACATTTAATGAGGACTGTAGAATTGAATTAACTATTGGGAAACATACTGTGTAGAGAGACCCACCAATGCAAGGTGAGGGTTAAAAAATAAGGAAGTGAGTTCAACAGTGATTTGAGTAAGTACAATCTGGAGAGATTTTAGTTAAAAATACGTACAGTGGTGCCTCGCAAGACGAAATTAATTCGTTCTGCGAGTTTTGTCGTCTTGCGATTTTTTTCGTCTTGCAAAGCACGGTGTCGGGAAAGTTTTGGAAAAGCTTCAAAAATCACCAAAGTCTTTAAAAACCTCAAAAAAGGCTACCACATCGCGTTCTATGAGTTGCTCCTCGAAGTCAAGTCGCAACTGTATTAACGGTGTTAAGAAAAAGGAAACAAACTTGCAAGACGTTTCCGTCTTGCGAAGCAAGCCCATAGGGAAAATCGTCTTGCGAAGCAGCTCAAAAAACAAAAAACCCTTTCGTCTAGCGAGTTTTTTGTCTTGCGAGGCATTCGTCTTGCGAGGTACCACTGTAACTGAAAGAGCATAATGTGGCTTCTCCTAATGATGGTCTGGTACCCTCCCAAAAGGAACAGTAGTTTCAGTCACCAGAATGTGATTTAAGGAAACTCTTAACTTTGGGGAGTTGAAACAAAAGAGGAACATGCACTCCTATTTTCTGTCATATGTGGGCAAGCAATCCCACTCCCTTTTCTGTTGAAACTGTTTCACACTGACAGGATCATACCAAATTTATGGAAAATGTATCTTAAAGAGCAACAAAGCAAAATGAGAAGCCACCATCAGCACATGCGTGCGTGCGCGCGCACACACACGCACATTCTGGCCAGTTGCCAAAAGAATATTGTCATGATTAATTCCCCCCCCCCCAAAAAAAAATCACCTGGGATGCATAAATGTAGGAAGCTGCCTCAGACCATTGGTCTATGTAGCTCAGTATTGTCTACAGTGAGTGGCAGCAGATTTCCAGGGACTCGAAGAGGAGACTTTCCAAGTACTGCCTGCAGATGACAGATACCAAACCTGGAACTCTCTGCATGCAAAACATGAGGTCCACTATTGAGTGATAGTCCCTCACTGCAACTTTGTGTGATGCAGCCCCAACACTAATGCTAATAATAATAATACTTTAAAAACACATTCTGAAAAGGTAGTTTTGAGCAATAGTGTGTGTGTTTAACCACCTACTATTATCCAAATCACATACTTTTTATAAAGCCATTGGGGAAGTATTTGAGTCTTGTAAAAGTGATGAAGCACTACACCCAATTCTTTGTTCAAAATGTACACCAACTGTTTTTCTTTTCTTTTTTTTAAAAGAAAGAAAACAACTTCAGAGCTGCAGTACACACAATTGTGCACAGTGTATAAAGGTAAAGGTACCCCTGCCCGTACGGGCCAGTCTTGACAGACTCTAGGGTTGTGCGCCCATCTCACTCAAGAGGCCGGGGGCCAGCGCTGTCCGGAGACACTTCCGGGTCACGTGGCCAGCATGACATCGCTGCTCTGGCGAGCCAGAGCCGCACACGGAAACGCCGTTTACCTTCCCGCTAGAAAGTGGTCCCTATTTATCTACTTGCACCCAGGGGTGCTTTCGAACTGCTAGGTTGGCAGGCGCTGGGACCGAGCAGCGGGAGCGCACCCCTGCTGCGGGGATTCGAACCGCCGACCTTTCGATCGGCAAGCCCTAGGCGCTGAGGCTTTTACCCACAGCTCCACCCGTGTCCCTTGCACTGACCCCTAAAATGTAGACTAGTGATCAGCACAGCAGCCCATTTTATTTTAATTTTACACCTGCCTGTTCTAGCAACAGGAAAGGCAGCTAAATGTTGCATGCAACAGCAAAATTGGTTGGTGAGTTTAGCAACATGGAGTGGTGTTGTGGGTCATTCTTCATTTTGTTGACATGTTGACAAAACCTCAAGTTGTCATTGCATGTGTGCATAATACATAAAAATGACACTTCAACTTCCCACTCTTTAAATAGTTGGTGCAGTTCTCAAGCCAATGATATTTAGATACAGTACATAAGATGACTGCAACATTCCTCCCCCTTCCTTATATACATTTCATTGTTTAAATGTAGAATACATAACACTTGGATTAGTCTTGATCTACCACATATTGATACTTGCCCTATACAATTGGGATGTAAGCTTGATGCAACAAAACTGTGGGGAGTCCATACACTATCATTTTTCACTTGCTAGATAAATTTGCACTTGCATCAGGAATTGTACATTTTACATAGCCTGAGAAGAAATGAGGCGTCATTTCATGAGAGCAAACTGAAACAGACGAAGATCTACTGTGACAATTTGACTTTCTTCATACTGCAAACTGCTTTGGGCCAATGCATTCATAGACAATAGGCCTTATATATTACAAATGATGGATTTTGAGATGTATGTCAAATGATACTTTGGCTGTATGGCTACCTTAACACAAAAGTGCCATTATTTCACCCAGCCTAGTAAGAGAAACATCATGGT